ACAGGTGTCCAACTTATTAACAGGTGAAAAAGAACGTGTCTCGTGACTTTTCCTAAAAGGGTCAGAAAAGCCACTGCAATAGCAATATTCGTCAGATAGTGCAGCCCGGGTTAAAGAAGAACTACCTATAAAACATAATTCCATGCTACTCCGACATAATTATTCAACCATGGCCAATATAATTATTCGCAGAAACGAAGTAATAGGGTCTTCCACACTACAGAAAAGGCAAGTTAATGCAAGAACTAATAGATGGTAGGTAATAATAGTCGAGCAATTGGAAGTAGTGTTTATAAGTACGTATTACATTACACAATGCTATGTGGTGGCATGAGTCAGTACTAATTAATTGTCGGTTATGTATTGTATGTGATCTGCATGATGGTATGGAACTACATATAATATAATTAACATTTCCCTTTGTTTGAGAGTAAGTGCTCCTATAATATGTTTCTTTATACCTCTTATATAAATATATATATATTTGCTAATGCCCTGATGACTTGGGATCCAAATTACTTCAAAGGAATAGTTATTTCTTAATAGGTTAATCATTGATTGCTTTATTTCTCTAATTAGGGGGTGCATATTTTGATTATTTTCTAAAGCCATTAAAGATGATTTTAAATCTGTATATAAAATATATTTTTCTACTTTAGGTTTACTTTCTATAATTTTTAAGACTTTAAGTATAGCAATTGATTCGCAACTGAAAATGGACTGGTAATTATGAAGTCTATATTGGGAACAGTTGTTATCCGACACAATCGCGCAACCAGCTCTTCCATTCAAGACCGATCAATCGGTATAAAAGGTTTTGTAGTCTCTATGATTGTAGTGCATTTCCTTCAATAGGTTTTTATAAATATAATCTGGTATATCATCCTTTAACCTTGCAGCTAATTCGAGATTAATGGGGAATTTAGGAACTTCCCATTTACCTACAGTCAAATTCTTTTTTTCAAAGACTAATGGGAACGTGAAATTTAATTCTTTTAAGTACTTTGCTACTCTAATTCGCAGAGGTTTTGGTAAATTAGGTCGGGATTGGTATTCAAGATTTGAAGTTGTTACTTTTTTAAATATTCATAGGTAGGGTTTTTAGGTTGAGATAAAATATTTGCAGTGTAAGCTAAAGCAAGTTGCTTCCTTCTAAACTCTAAGGGCATTTCTCCAGCTTCAGCCAATATACTTTTAATGGGACTAGTTTTAAAAGCACCAATACAAAGACGGAGCGCTGTATTTTGAACACTTTCTAGTGATTTTAGAGTTCTTAAACTAACAGAGTCATATATGATAGCACCGTAGTCTATTTTTTGCCTAATAGGCGAATAATACGTGGTCAACAGACACTCTTTAATCAGATCCCCATTCTAGCGAGGATAAGACCTTTATAATGTTTATCCTTTTGTAACACTGATTTAAGTTTATTTTTATGTGCTATCCAAGACATCTTTTTGTCGAATGTTAAGCCTAAAAGTTTAATATTATTTACTTCTTTAATATTGTGTTCATTCAATCTAAGTCTAACGTCCGTCTTCTTCTTTCAAAGAGGAATTTTGTTTTCATCAAGTATGTGTCTTTATTGAAAACTTTGTTGACTTACCAAATAGTTATTTCTTGGCAAATACATTAATATGTAGATGATGATATTGTTTTGTTGAAACATTCTTTATCTTATCCCTATAAAGCTAAAATCTTGTATAGTTATTAAGAGCGCCACTGTAAATGTCGTATGCCATAAAAAAATATTCTTTATTAAAACCAGCTAACCGAGATTCTATTCAGGGTGTCAGCTGTCACTAGTCAGGCGATTCCAACTCAAGCAGGAATTTGTAGTGCCTTTTATTCTTTCTGAAATTATATGGAAATACAACTGATACTCCTAAATATTCAAACAAAACATATCAATATAATCAGCAGGGCTCATTAGAACCACTTATTTCATTCTCCAATCAACAACCTTAGATAATTCAAAAACGCCAGAAGCTCTACATAATTAACTTTCAATTTTTATCTTTACACAAACGCTGCGATTTGTAAATTCCCCTCGTGGCGTTTAAGACCATTCATTTTTATTCCCAGCTACCATTAATTGTTCAGCGGGCTGCGGAATTAAATTGTTTTCCTTAAACGGATTATTCTGGACTGGGTTTCTTTTAATTACTAAAGTCCTGGTAAAATTACTTTCTCGTTAATAACTTTACAAATTAACGTACGGTTCCTCGAAATGGTACTTCAGTTGTGGTAATTGAACTGTTATTAATTGTGTGTAGTTAGTCTGCGTCAGTGGTTCACATTTATTATCATACTTACTACCCGTAACTGCGGCTAATTTGATGAATGAATTTAGATTTTTATACAACCAAAGCCCTGGCAAAAAAACTTACTTACATTCACGTTTCCGTTGTGTATTAACACTACAATAATTATTTTTATAATAACTTCACACATCTCACACATGGCCGTTTAATACTAAACTATGGTAACCAGACTGCTGCCAAACATACTTATGTATTTCTAAATATACATATTATAGATAAATTACACCCAGACACGGAACGGATGATCGTGCTCATCACCCAATTTTTTGTCCTGGGTGGAAATCGAACTCATGACCTCTGGCTTAGCAAGCAGGGTCATTAACCACTAGACCAACAGGCCAGTCAAACACTGACGATATTTATTAACTCCTCCTGAGTCTCGGTCGACGTGTTGTTACATAGTCTATCATCATCATCATCAGCCTTTAACAGTCCACTGCTGGACATAAGCCTCTCCTTAGAAAGGAGGTTTTGGCCTACTATACCACGCTGGCCAGACATAGACATAGTCTATAACCTCCCTTAATGAATACTTTATCAATCAATTCAATATAATAAATATAAAAATAATTACACAATTATAAACATATTACAAATCTCTTTGATAGTTCAAGAGATTTGCTCATTTAAATTAGAAAAAAACTTTTCAATTTTATGTATTTCAATCAAAGAAATGATTATTCTGTACTCGTATATTAGAATACTAGCTGACCCGTGCAACTTCGTCTGCGTCTCTCAATAGTAATACATTTTGTCCGTTTTTGAAACATTCTTCATTGGTGCTCCGCTCCTATTGCTCTTAGCGTGATGATATATAGCCTATAGCCTTCCTCGATAAATGGGCTATCTAACACTGAAAGAATTTTTCAAATCGGACCAGTAGTTCCTGAGATTAGCGCGTTCAAACAAACAAACAAACAAACAAACTCTTCAGCTTTATAATATTAGTATAGATTTGTCCCCAGCGGGACAAGTAACTATGACCACGTTGTAATTCTATTGCAACACCACTTCACTCTAATGGAAACATAATTCTATTGAGATACACTCCAACCCTTCAATTATTTCCAAAGTCTTTGAAACAACTAATTAAACATGAGCCCAACAAACTTGTACATTCTGAGACTAACTTAATAAAAGGAAATTATGTTCCGCGACCCATCTGGAACGTTGGAGACAGAGTAAATTTTGAACAAATTACTTCCAAACTTTAATCAACTATGCTTCACACAAATTATTACTATGAAGGTCGACGCAAAAATTAATAACTGCCAGGACGTTTTCCGCAAAATAATTTCTAAATCTTATCATCATAATTAACGCCTAATTGACTTTTAGAAAAGTATCACCACCTTAAATGCTAATAAAATCATTCCTTAATTTACATATCTTGGTGGTACTTTTTCTTCAAATTTTAACTGAACCAAATGAGAAGTATACCCTCCCAAATAAAAAAGAAATTTTTCAAAACGTTTTATACTACGAAATAACTACTTAAATATTCAACTGAACTAATGAATTTAAATTATTTCTAATTGTTATTAATATAAATATCCACTGAGACGAAACACCGTAAAAGTCAACATTTGCCGTGCTCACTTTACAACGAAATTTTCTATTGCTAAATTACTTGAAAACAAATGAATGAAAACAGAGTGTAAGCTGGAACAGTAATTAGAGTTATTTATGGGCGGTTTCAATCCCCCCAACTGCGACTGCAAGTTGTGATTTTAATTCATTCGAGACCCGAGGCTCTTTGCACCTCGAATTACTTAGCATAAAATATTGTCAGCCATTTGTTTGAGCGTCACAAAGTTGTTCGGTGATTCAAAGGCTTATTTCTAAATAGTTCCCCTTGAATTAATTGTTTATATAGTCCTTTATTTATTCGAGTGGCAAAGTTATGTAGTATTAATAAAATTGACTCGGGGTTAGTAGAGATGATAAGTTGAAGATACCTGCAGAGAGCGATCGATCTAGGTCAGCTTCAGGATTGGGATAGGTACGTACCTTCTGATTTTATCGTGCTATTTGAGGCGAGAAATGACTTCGCAATCTCGGGGAGGAAGTTTTATGTGTCGGCAGCGGTTGTCAAGCAAATATTTCTCAGAGCTTATCCTGTGGGAACCTTTTTTTAAAAGATTAGTAATAATGAAAGTGACAAACAAAGTCCCAGATGAAAAAGGAAATATTTTTTGTGTTATAAAACTTTAGCCCATAAAATTAATAATATTTTTAAAGGCAGTTATAGTTTAGCAGTATAGCGTTGCATTACACGACCGCGGTTAGAATATGTATATTTGCTTATGAGTAATTAATTATTACTTAATTTAATTGTAAAGAAAGAAAGGTGAAAATTGTAAGGAATGTACTAACTCCACTTAGGTAAATGTGGTGGTGACAATAGGTTAATGCTTAATTTTGTGAGAAGACTTATGCCACATATACCCAGGAGAAAGAGCAAGGTCTGATTAATAAGGCTGATAGCTCTTAAATGTGAAGTGTGATAATGATGACTACGTTCTAAACTAACAAAATCATTTAGGTACTTCTAGTAGTAATTACTAACACGTCAAAAATATTTTTAATGTTCAAAATCTAAATATTATAATTAATTGTTAATCTTCTCGTATACTAGCAATGATTTACACAAACTTATATTATATTTCTTTACAGGTGACGAATCCTCTCATGTCTACGGTGTCATTACATCTGAGGGCCTCTTTGACGGTACAATTTGGACGCCTACAGAAGAATACTACGTGGAGCCAATTTCTAGGTATAACGTTGACCAGCCATCTATGCACAGTGTGATTTACCGAAGATCGGATGTCCAGCACCCGCATGGCACCAGTGAAGGAGCGCCTTGCGCATCACATCTTCTCCATTTGAAGAGAACATCAGGCCAAGAGGTTGAATTATTTAACTTCACTGACCAGCAAATTGTAAAAACTTCTAATTTAAATAATGTTACGGAAGATTTACGCAGTGAATTACACAGACGAAAAAAACGATGGCTACCCGAAGACGAAATGCAAGATGATGAGCCAAAAACTAACCCCGATATACCTTTAGACTTAGACGTTCCTTACACTAGCAACAACGAAGCAACCGATAAGTTAAGCACTCGAAAACCCAAAACCAAAATCGATAAAAGTAACCTCATAATTAAAGCGCGACCCGATTCTGAAGAATCCAGACCAAAGCCAAAGACTCACGTTGAAGTAATAAAAACTAAGGCAGGTGTTGTGACTGTTAGCAAGGATATAGTTAAGAAAGAACCTATAGGTTACACAGTGTTGTCTGCAAACGGGACTGACGATGGAAGACATGTGAATAAGAGAGCTACGGTAGATCCAAGAAAAACCACATGCCTCGTGTACTTGCAAGCAGATCACATGTTCTATCAACGATACGGCTCGGAGGAAGCTTGTATAGAAGTCATGACACGCCATGTTCAGAAAGTTAATGCAATTTACAAAGTAACAGGTAATGTTTTTACATTAAAGATCTCGCCTAATTATTAAAGTGGCTTAATTATACGGTAGAATTACTTGTTTCAGACTTTAATCAAGATGGAAAACCGGACAACATCACCTTTATGATCAAACGCATAAAAGTTCATACGTTAGACGCTCTAAAAGATCCTGCCTACAGGTTTCCCAATAACTACGGAGTTGAAAAGTACTTGGAACTTTTTTCAGGTTAGATTTTTTTCTCAATATTCCATTACGCAAGTAAAATAACGTTGCGGTCTCTTAAAGTCAATTCAAAGTTAAGCTATTAGTTTAATAAATTACAAGTACCTACTTATAAATGGAGGGCTTACTTTTTTTTATTTTGAGTTTTACTTATGAATAATAAATTAACTTTTAGAGGAGGATTACGATGCCTTCTGCTTGGCGTACATGTTCACGTATCGGGACTTCGAAATGGGTACATTGGGCTTGGCATGGACCGGTGATCTCAAAAACGCGGGTGGAGTGTGTGAAAAAAATGGGGTAAGTTGTTTTTGGTAACTTAAAAGAAGAAATCAATTTACATTTTCGGAATACTAATCAAATCCTTACCTTTCAAGCATTATCGTGGGAGTATGAAATCTCTGAACACAGGCATCGTGACACTACTAAACTACGGAAAGCACGTGCCCCCAGCCGTCTCCCATGTTACCCTGGCTCACGAAATTGGTCATAATTTTGGATCACCCGTAAGTAATAAGACTAGAACTGTTAAGCGTTAAAGGTGTCTCTATATTAAGTCCTATTGTATACTTATATTAAATACTAGCAGAACCTAACGCACATTAAGTACTAAAAGACAAGAAACGTTATCTTAAATATGTGAGTGTCTATTGAAACACAAACACATACATATATAAATAATGATAATCGGTTAGGAGGCTCCAGTTAGAAAGCTCAGACTTCCCAGCCACAGTCAGTTCCAACTACAAGCTACTCTGACTTACTCGAGTAATTGATTAGACTAACTAGTCCATCCAGTATAAGCAATATCTCTTTTCTTCCATTGGCTTCCTGACTGAACAATTTTCTTATGAAATAATCCAAACTGTAGAATACGGTTCTTGGAACATACATGACGTAAAATGTTTTAATTGACTGATTGATTAACATGTAAACGCGATATGTTTTTAGCATGACCCTGAAGTGTGTACACCGTTTGGTGAAGATGGGAACTACATCATGTTTGCCAGAGCCACCAGCGGCGATAGAAAGAACAACAACAAATTCTCGCCGTGCTCCCTCAGAGCCATTGACCCGGTGCTTAACAACAAAGCCAGGTCTCCAAAAGGTTGCTTTACTGGTAAGGATTTATTTAAAGTTTAAACTTAATTAGTTTGTGATCGTTTATAATAATAACAATTTTCAGCCTATATTCATACTTTACAATAGTTTAGGCAGTACGTTTATATAAAAAAGAAGACATTTTAGTTGCACAAAACTCCCGAGAATTATGGTGCTGCGGTTTCGCACTCGTCTTAGTTAAAGGGAAACTGGACGTCGGCATGAAGACCATTCTATATCTGTAATGTATACAAAACTCGCTTTATTAACAGAACCTCAACCAGCGATTTGTGGCAATGGGGTGGTCGAAGAAGGTGAAGAATGCGACTGCGGTTGGGCTTCAGAATGTACTGATGTTTGCTGTCGGCCACAAGCTTCAAGACCCCACTACAAACCCTGCACACTCACTGAACATAGTGTATGCAGCCCAAGTCAGGTAAGAGAGAAAAAGTACAAAAGCATCTTCCACATAACGTAATCATGAATAGTAATTTTTCACTTAGAGGCAACTAGAAGAGTTCTCAAACGTTTCGCTTGTTCTTGTGTCTGTTTGTTACGCCTTAACTACGCATGTAGTTGGATACATATTGTCATAAGTAACAGAAAAGGAAATATACATATAATGTACCTGCCATTAAGAAAAAAAAATTGTTCAGAGATACAGAAAAAATAACCTTTACGCTAGTAAAACCACGGGTAAAAAGCTAGTGTAGAATCATTTTAACACTTAGGTACTAACTATTGTTTTCTTACTCATAGTAAAAGACAAACACTTAACCACATTTTAAAGCACATAGGTCTCTGCACTCTTTTACACAATACCTTACTCATATGTTACAGGGTCCATGTTGCACGGCGTCATGCACTCTCAAATTCGGTGATAAATGTCGCTCTGATAATGGCTGTCGAGATGCGGCGTTCTGCGACGGCAAGCGAGCTGCGTGCCCTTCAAGCAGACATAAACCTAACAGGACAAGATGTGATAAAGAACTTGTTTGTTATATGGGGGTAAGTACAGTTGGGACTCATCTTTCTACGTAGTCTGCACCCTGCAGTACTTTGCATGTAAATTACGTAGAAAGTTTTTATAAAATAAATAATAGAATCGAAACCTTTCCGGTTTCATAATACCCTTGATTAATAAGTACCGGTTCTGAAAATAATAATCCAGTTACATAAAAACTTTGTATTTATTGTGTACCTGGATCACATCTTTTATTCTTTTATCTTTAAAGAGTCCTCACGATACTCTTACAACAGCGGGGATGTCACTCATACCAGACTGTTCCACTCGGCCGACCCCACCACCCCAACCTTTTTAATAAGCACTACAGGATTGAGACTCAGGCCCATTCTACAGGAGTTAGGATAACCGTGTTTTAATCACTGTTTAAGAGTTCTCAAGAGAAAAATGTTTACAATGCGTGATAGTCACAGTTTTCTGGGGTTTTCTAAACAAACCCACCTATGGTAAATTCTCAAACTTCTCCATTACAGGAGTGCACCGGTTCAATATGCCTTGCCTATGGTTTGGAATCCTGTCAATGTGCTCCGCGAAAGGACGATCCTCGGTCAGCTTGCGAGTTATGCTGCCGCAAGCCTGGGGGCCCCTGCTTATCCTCATTCGATTGGAACTCCTCGCCATATGATGTACCCGACATGTATGCCAAACCAGGCACGCCATGCAATGATTACAACGGGTAAGTAATTGTTCTTAATTACATTTTCTCAATAACACCAACACAGAAGTGTATTCCACCACTAAAGTTATAGTCTAGTACGTCTCTCTGTACTAGGATATACTTATCTTATAACTGTGTAACTTTTTAAAGATTTCTAAACGCTTACTAAACATTATATTCAAATACTCGCCAGGATAATGTCCACAAGGAAACTAATTAGAAGAAGAAATTCTTTTTCAAAGTTACTTTTATAAACGATACCAAAAAAGACTGTATAATATGGATGTTTTTCTTCCTATATTTATCGTACATGAATTCAAAATATCTATTTTGAATTTAATATCAACTTTGATGTCAACATCGATGTTTTTGAAATATAGACCGTTCTTAGCAAGCGCTTTCCAAGACCGCAACTTTCGCAACCAAGTGTCAAAATGTGTGAACTAGCAGTAAGGAATAAAATGTTTTTTTTTTTAAACTTAGGCGCGAACTATGGGTGATAAGATGAACACTTTACGTAACGTTAGGACCGTGTACATATTACTTCCAGGTACTGCGACGTGTTCCAACGTTGCCGCGAGGTGGACCCGTCAGGCCCCTTGGCAACGCTACGCAAGTTGCTATTGTCAGATGAAAGCATCGCTGGCTTCAAAAGATTTGTGCTGAAGCACTGGTACGCCGTGGTGCTCATCTTGCTAGCTGTTATTGGATTACTGGTACGTACTAAATGCGTCCTATCCTTATAGCCTACAAAATAAAACAGGATTTTTTTCATATGAATGGTATTAAGAAGTCAAAATTTTAATGTCACCATGATCTGTATTTTGGTTATAAATTCGGTTAGTAATACGGTGAATTCCCTCATGTACATACGCATACCAGAAAAGATATTATTTTGCCAATAATTAAAATCGTCTGTATGCTGACGGATTAAGAATACGAAGTGTCACCACCCCTATTCATCCCGTGAGCGTCTTAAGAATACGAAGTGTCACCACCCCTATTCATCCCGTGAGCGTCTTAAGAGCCAACTAAGGGAGCAAACTCTGCAGGACAACAGCACTGCAAAGAGATGGTAAACTTGAAAACGGAAACTAACCCGTCTGGCCAGCATAAGGAAAGCCTTATTATGCTGGCCAGGTGACGTCTGTCTATATCTAGCAGTGGACTATTAAAGGCTGTTGTTGAAAAATTAAAACTATTTTTTTAATAAAATATTTTATGTTAACAAAGTTGAAGGGAATATTTTTGGAAGGAAGATGAGTAAAAAGAAGAAGACATTATGTCATACAGATTCACAGTGACAGTATTTACAGACTTAACAATTAAAATATTTTATAAATATATTTAATCTACAGAGTATTCCTCGTAATAAAACAGTCCCACAAGTCTTATACTGTTTAAAGGTTATTTAATATCTGTGACAAAATTGATTACTCAAAAAAGTAGGGAGGTTCTCAATTCGTCGGAATCCTTTTTTTTTTTAGTGTCACTTTTTGTTGAATTTACAACTTCTTATGTTTATTAAGAACCAGCTTGAACACTACTAAAACAGTATTTTTTCGAATAAAAGGTAACATTTGACCATACCCGCATTCCTGGCAACGTGTTTATACGTGAAATTGGATAATGATCAGAACGGTACGACAGGGCAGATTTTATATATTTTACAAAAACATTAAGTTATTTATTATAAATATGAAACAAATTATAAGGGCGTGTGTGTATCAGTTATATACTCCTACGGACAGGCAAAACCACGTCTACTACATAGCCTTAGAGTAAATAGAATAGTAGTTACAACATCGTTAATAAGCTGGACACGTTTCTATCTGCATTATTCAGATATGAACAGGACAAATGAATTGATTAAATATTTTTACATAACATTTACATAGACTAAGGTGCGAGCGACGATAGGTATATATGTATGTAGGTATAATTACCTGATACATACAGAAATACGTAATACACAATCTATATTTAACTTCTTTTGTTTCTTTAGCTTTGCTGCAGAGCTCTCGACGTTGCTATCGAAATAGACACTAAATGTTAGTGTCTATTCAAAATGACATAACTCCTCTGGGAAGGTACATGAACTAAACGAGTATGTAGAAGCGCGCTAGAATTTAAATAGCTACAATATTATACTGTCACATAAAAGTTGAAATATGGCTAATTCTTTTAAACCAAAAAAAAAACTTTTGCTTTAGTCAATCAAATGTTTATGAATCAAAATTATTTCTAAATTCTATGTTATGAAAGAGTACCGTATACCGGTGTGTATGTGTGTGAAATACCTTTTTAGAAAAGCATCGTACCTGCGAAGAGCCATCGCTTTCCAAAGTTACTTAAAGTTATATAAGCTAGAATTTATTAATATTTCATCTCATTAAAAAACTTATTAAAGAAGTATAATTCTGCCCGGGTGGTCTAGCGTACATTTGGAGAGACTTATGTCCAGAAGTGGCCTGCAATGGGCTAATTGATTGATATTATTATTTGCTTACATTTTGAAGTTTTTAGGAAAGCAAATTTTAAACGATTACCCACTTATTTTATCCATCTACTGTTACACAATTTAGAATTGTGTTATACATAATTAAAATAAAATACAAAGCGCCGCCAAATAAAAAAAAAGCCGTGTGGTGTCGTGGGACACCCGATAGGAACGAAGTTGTGACGATCGAGTAAAACTGATTAGACACGATTTTAATTACAACGCCATCTATGAAAGCGGCTATTACCTACATATTTTTCAGTTGGTTTCTAATTAAAATAATTTATACATTGGTAAAATCTCCTTGAGAAATGATTTCCTATCTATTCGATAGATGGCGCTGAATGACTGACAAGTGAAAATTCAAAATAAATACTGAGATGAAAAGTAATGATTTCCTATTTATTCGATAGATGGCGCTGAATGACTGACATAAAAAGTGTCGTTACAACTTTTCGTGAGATTTTTTCCGTCTAGCCCCCTTTCACAACGCACGATAAGGAACTTCGTTCCAATAGGCCGTTATGTCACTTACGTTAGACTACACACTCACAGTATTGTAGATTTACTAAGAAAAATAACCCAAACAGTGCTTATCCAACTTTAGGCTATTTATTACTTCTTTATATGACAAGAATATAAAGATACTCACATACAAATATGATTTTAGATTGCAAGTACACGTTTCCTTGGGCGTCACGGCAAGAAGCTGAAATCGGTGACAATAATCCACTCATCCACGACAGAAACTGTTCGCTTACCAGATGCACCTGATCAGGGCCTAATCGTTCATACAGCCGTAAGGTAAGAATGTTTTATACAGTCACTTGTTTTTACGTCTTAAATCTTAACATTACATATAGACATACAATTAATAGTAAAATATGTATGTATATTTTTCTAAAAAACTTCTATTTTAAATTTGGAATTTCGATTCTATCAAGTCAGAATCTCATATTATAAAAGATATTTGATTCATGGCAAGCCTTTAATAAATTTATTTGATATAATTCAAAGCTAGCGGTGTCCGATCATAGATAGATTATATTATTAATATATATAATATTAAAAAGGCAAAACACAACACACATTATCTTATCGCCACTTAATCAAAGTTTTAATCAATTGTACTTAATTTATTTATAGGTCAAAACTACCTCTTAAGAAGAAAGTGGCTTTAAGAACTCGAGCCTACCGAAACAAAAAAGATCTTAAAAAGCAAGGGGACAAAGCGTCTCCTGTTCACAGCGCCAATAAAAAGAGGGTAAGTTTATAAACAAAAAACGATTTAACTAATTATTTTGTAACCTCTGATCACCGATCACATCTTTCTTATTACAGAAACCAAGTAATCAATCAAAATTGGAAGAAGCTCCGAAAATAACAAAAGAAAGCACAGCAATTATCACAAATTCAGAAGGAAAATCACCCAAACATGTTATACTTTCGAAACACAAGAGCAAAGTAAAAAAACGAAAAACTAAAATGAAAAAAGAAACAATAGATTACAGTGGAATGCAAAAGCATCCTTCTTCACCCGTCAAAGACCCTGAGGCTTTGAGTAAGGTACAAAGATGGTTATTGAGCTCGCCACAGCCGACAGCTATACCCAAATCGAAATCGATTCCCCTAGGACTCACAGAACGAACTCGTAGACAAATTCAAAAGGGTACAAGAAAAACCAGACCGTCCAAGAGCGCCTCTAACCTTCTGTCCGGTGAAAAGGCTAGACTCCAAGTTGTGTTCAAACCTCCCTTTAGATTCAGTCTTAAAATTTGCAAGAGTGATAAGACAAAGGTCGTACTAGATAAATCATCTAAGCCTGACGTGGAAAGGAAACGACACGATGTCCCATCTCAACAGACTTCCGCAGATGTCACAAAAGAAAATTCATCGAGTAAAACATCAAAGCAATCTAATTCCAGAAATGTAGAAAGCTTACAACCAGTTTCCAGTGCTTCTAAGATCGAAAAACCGCTGAATCGTGAAAAGCAAAATCATGGTTACGCAAACTTACTCCCTCGAAGTGCCAGTGACTGTAAATTAACAAAGATGCCAGATATTAAATTTCGAGGTGGACACAAAAAGAGCAACTCGGTAGGTCAGAGAAAAGGTACGACAGAGAGCCGTCAAAACCTTATAGCGCAGGAAGAGTTTGACAACGCACATGTTTATGAAAATGTGGTAATGTCACAAGAAGCCTTCATTCCTAAGAGCTGTAGTATGCCCCGCCGTCAGGCTGGTGTTGGCATATCTCGGCAAAGCAGCTACGGTCATTTACCTAGACCCCAAATCCGCCCACATAGACATAGTACAAACAATATAAGCAGATCCAGAAACAACAGTGCTTCTGAGCTAGAACATTTTTATAATGTTATCGAGTCTCTACGACGCAACAACGTAAAAGATGTCGACACATGCAACACTAACACGACCAGTTCGTCCGGCAGTAGTCGACACGACAGCGTATTACTTCAAAATAGTTCGAGTTCCTATCAGGGTGGTAGTAGAACCTCCAGACAAAATAGTCTAGTCGATAAACCTACACGCTCGAGCCCGACCGATTCTTCGAAAGTTATAAGGCATTTCAGTGAAGCCGAACTACCTAAATCGCACGGTGATAATGGACTTAGGGGCTTTCAACTAGTCGTTGGGAAGGAGAAATTAAAAAGACAACTGAGTGATAATGAGCTGTGTAAATCTCGCGTTCAGTTGGCGATGCCGATGTCGGCGGGCGCGGAGCCGCGGCAGCCCTTCTGCTGGAACAAGCGCGCCAGCCTCGACTGCGAGGCGTCCCTGGCGGCCGCCCCTCGCGTACCCAACTCCCGCTCCAAGAAACAGACTACATATACGTTCGGTGAACTCAAGAACGCCGTCCCCGACTCGACAGATGCGTCGCCCGCCGAAGACGTCCAAATTTCCCCCGAGGAGTTCTTGAACATTATCGATAATTAAGTATTACAGTGAACTTATAAGCGTATAAACCTCGAGTGATTATTATTGAAATATGAACAAGTAATTAACGTGCATATTAAATGGAAAACTATTTGCAAGATGTACTATTGTCGGCTGGTGTAAATATTGTAATTTGCTTTTAATATTAGTACTAATGTAACCTGCCACTGAAACAGACCATTACTCAGTTCGTGCCTGTAAACAAGTGTTACAATGTATAAAAGTACACACAAATTACATATACTCATAGTACAACGAGTTTACTGAACACTGTTGTACATTATACATATTTCTCTTAAAGTGCTAAAACTTTTTGCAACAGATAAATTGAATTTATTCTAGTTTTATTTTTAATTTTATAGTTTTTAATAAATCATATAGAAAATCTAGTAATGTTACTAAAATGTAATGAACTCATACTGGCAATGGTCTTGTTTCACTAAACGATCTCTATCAAAGGAATCTCTATTTTTTCTACATGCTATGTATTGTACAAATTTAATCAAAACTATGTAAAGTGTCAATGTAAGATTATTTAATTACTTTGAAAATAATTTACGTAACTCACATATAGTTTTTATTTTTTATTTAGATAGCAGTCAATTAGCATGTCAATCAGTTAATAAATTAATATAGTAGTTCTCTAAGAAGTTCAATTCTATATACTAATATTGAACAAGCTATTTTATATAATTTAAAAATCGAGACTCATTGGATTCTATTAAATTGTAATTTATTTAAACACACAACTATCTACATGTCTATTTAGTTATAGGTACCTGGACCCAAAACTAAGGCTACCCATATACCTGGGTCTATTTAAATATGAGGTCTAAGAAAGGAATATCAACAACCCAAGTTGTAGTTTCATAGTAAATGAGAGAATTGTCCAATACAGTTTTTTTTACATTAAACTAAAACAGCCTGTTATTTTAGATAGTTCGGTATAAAAACTACCTTGTTCCGTCATAATTAACTTGGATGTACCATTCGAAGAAAGTCATTCAGACCCAGATGTTAGCCGCATCGTAGACAGCAACAATATTGCGTGTACCACATACTACACTACACTCTAAGGACTGCTGTTATATTAAAGCTTTCTTCATAAAACAATCAATTTAGGAATAAGACATTTACAAATATTAATAATCCAATGAAATCCTCCTTAAATACAAATAAACAAAAATTAAACAAGAAACTGTTTTATCGATAGAGTATTTTTCTATTAATGTTGGATAAAACGAACTAACGGTAAATATAACTAACTGATCTTTTGGCAGAGTCTTCATTCTTCACTCTTGTGTTCTGCAATATCTGGGATGGAATAAGTATAATTTTGTATTTTCACGTATTAGGATGACAATATTGTAGTAATTAATAAATGATAAGTAAATAATATCTCTTCTAAATATTGTAATTATGGTTAATAATGCTGTATAGATATTAGGTACCTACATTTTTTTAATTTTGCAGGTTCCCGCCTAAATAATAATTATTTATTCAAATAAGGTTTTAAGGTATTTTTTTGTCATTTAACATGATTGATATATTACTTTATCAATTGCAGCTGAATATACAAAGCGACTAATATACAAAGTTTACATACCTATTTCAATAAAGAAACTGCTTATTAGATTGATTTATAAAATTATTTTTGACCAAAATTAAATCTAATTAACTTAAAAAATATTTAACACATCTTAATAAAAAATAAAATGTCTATTCACCTAATAATAATGTTAGCCACTTTTGGATCAAATTAATTGGCATTTTTTTAGAAAAATGGCGCGTAAATGACGCGTGTATGTCTGCAATCCATACTATATTCTACGAATACAACTATTATAAAAGAATATGTAAATGCATTATTTAAAATCAAGTCGCCTCTGTTTTAGGTATATTATTCGACATGTATGTGATCAAAGGATTTCTGTTGCGAATTTTTAAATGTTAAAAGAAATAAAGGCTAATCCCTCGATGCCGGGGCTTCTTTATAAATATTTTAAAGTATTCCAAAATGAAAATTTATTATTTAACAAAATACTTAACTGTTAGTGTTTTTTACAGTAAACAGATTCGCCATTAGCAATAATATATTTTACCTATTTTTAGGTGCGTCTCACAATGAATGCATCTCAAAATAGGCAGTTTTAGGATCGACCACAGCGACAACCATATTATTATAATGGTTTTTATTTCTGTCTCAGATATTAATCAGAATGTGTTCCAATATTTTCGTAACTTGTGCAAAAGCTTTGCGGCTGTGCCACAGCGTTTATGAGCTTCGTTGTAGGGAGGTAAGGGTAAAACGTAAAAGCTATTGTATTGTATAGGAACTGATTTCTAAGAAAATCGTAAAGTATTTGAAAGTGTTACAAATTTGTATTTTACAAAAATACTTATCGTGGATAAGGGTAAGATCTTTATATGCAAGGAGCTTTATAAGAGCAGAGCATTTATCTTGTATATAGGTATAAACTCTTTCAATGTCACTACGCATATATCTATTATAGACATTCTAGACATCTTTTTGTCTCATATTTGTTTTATACTATAAGTCTATTACTAACTCTTCCTTGATAAAATATTCGATTTAAGTACATGTTAATTGTGAATTTCATATTATATAATTAAATGTGATTAGATTCTATACAACTATTTAATGGTTTTATAGTTCATAAAAAAGTTCTATGGTGGACACGATAAAAGGTTTTCCACAACTAAACTATGTTTAATTTGAAAAACAGAACTTAGTAATGTTATCTGATATTACGCATCTGACTATAATCTCACTGTATTTGTTCCAAGTGCCTTATGAACAAATCATTACATTCCTACAATACATTCCAAATTGTACACTTCTTAAGTTTGTAATTTCTTTTTTGGTATAAAAAAACTGATATATGATCCGATTTTATTAATATACTTATAATAAGTTTACATATTCGGGTACTTAATTAATCTGTGATAGATACGTTATTTTCAGTACATTATTCCTGACCAAAAAAGATGTCTGTTGCATTCTCAAGCTATGTATGTAATTTGACACTTTATTGTTATGTAATATAAGTAAAATATTAAAATAGTCACGAATACAAATTTGTAACAAAATTCATTTTCTAACATTTTTCTATTTTTTTCTGCATTTTTAATGGATTAAAAAGACTTCAACAATACTGCCGTTATATTTTATTTTGTAATTCTACATGTAAAAAAAGATATTTTTTAATGAAATAGGGGGGCAAACCACCAGATAGGTCCCCTAATAGTAAGTGAACCGCCACCTTTTGCAGACCGGCAACCAGTACCGGTGCAGGGTGTACACCGCACAAGGGCGACGCTTTTGAGGGCTCTGCAAAAACAGATAGGTACTAAAATTCTCATAATTTGCATGTTTAATAAATTTTTAATTTAGGGGCGCTCTTGGCTAACTGGTAACTAGTAGAGTAGGTTAACACACTGCAAGATTAAGCAATCTTAGCCAGGTTAATCTATGGATTGGTAACCATTCTTTACACATTGAGACCCCTCCTTACCTCGGAGAGCACGTTAAGCAGTCGCCGTCGGTCCCTGTTGCCATACAAATATCTGTAGCAAACGTTACGGGTAGTTGGAACCCTAAAAAGTTCAACAACAGTCTTCCTATACAGCTTCGATATCGCCTAGTACTTGGGTTGTGTCCTGTCAGTCGCTCCGCGTAAAGAATCGAAATTCATCGTAGTAGACTTAAAAGTCGACCCCAGCCTAGTTTGGGAAAAAGGCTGGGAAGTATAAATTTTTTAATGTATACATTTATATAATAATGACATGTATTGATCAGTTTCGAAAATGAACGCAAACGTTTACAAACTTCGCATTACCCTATAAAATATGCAATAAAATTGAATCACGGGCGCGTGTGAGGATTCCCAAATATACCATACCAGGGATTGGGTTTATCTTCAGGGTATCATGGAGTGGCTTAATCGATATTGCACGCTGGCGTTCAAACAGCTATCGGCGGGCCTGCCTACAACCACTATGTACGAGTACATATCTCTTAATCTGTGCCTACAACTCAAGAGACGCACGTGCGTTGCCCCAATTAAGGGGGAGGGAAGGTTAGGCCTCATCTTTGCCTCTCACTCACTCGGCGAAAAGCAACGTAAGAATTGCTTAACACCGGTTCTGTGAGGCCGTGGTATCACTCCGGTCGAGCCGGCCCATTTGTGCTGAAACATAAAACTTTCCCAATTACAAAATTATATTTAAACAGAAACATTCTTGGAGTCCGCTTATATTATAAAAATTATTGGAATAAATGATTTCCTAATTTTTCATTTTATTGTTTTCAATAAAATCTTTTTGATAACACCATAGAGGAACATTAAATTTATTTTTTATTTCACCTATTATTTTCGCTTATCTTTTGTTTTTAAGCATGAATGTCATTTTTCAGAAAAAAATGTGTAGTGTTTTTCGACGGACAATGTTGTGATCAATATTTTGTAGGAATCAGTTCATTATTGAAATGGCACCTATACGGTACAGTTTACATTATGAAGATTATTCTGAGCATTTGATGTCTAGGTTTGGTAAACTGTTACAAATGCAGTCATTGGTGGATATGACACTTATGTGTAGTTCTCATACCTTACGTGTGCACAAAGCTGTGCTTGCAGCGAGTAGTGCCTATTTTCAGGTAAAAGTATTGCTTAGCTCATGAGTTATTACTTATACTCGATATAATTCATCATTAGTACATTTACATGCTGTTTGGAAACCTACTAGATCAATGTCTTTATACAATTTTTGTAGTATTTAATAAACCTACCAGTTTCTCAAGGTAGGAAGTCATAAAAAATAGTTTACTTTTATCCTATCATATAATTGTCAATTATCCTAAATTGTATTATTTTTAGGAAGTGCTTCAAAAACAATCGGGCGAACCTTTGATAATATTAAAAATGCGCTTCAGTGTATTAAAATGTTTAGTAGAATTCATGTATTGCGGCAAAACGCAGTGTTTGGAAGAAAACTTGGACGAGCTGGTGTCAGCTGCACAGTTTCTTAAGATTAAAGGTCTATCTAAAGTAACGAAGGAAGGTCTTGGCATTGCTAATAACAGTAAGTATTGAAAAAGTGTAATAAAAAAAGCTACTAAAATTTAGTTTTTATTTGGTATACCTACCCAATCGCTTGTAATTTAAAACGGAAATCCCTTAAATTCTTAAATTTATTCAATACTTTCTGAGGTGGTTCCCCTATTAGTAAGTGAAATACTGATATTTTTAGTGACGATCTAGTCTTGTTAGATCGCTTGAAATGAATAATAAATAATACTTATTGAAGGTCTCCCTATTTAAAATTGAATCATATTATAATCACTGCTGTGATTGCATTAATTGTAATTCGCGACTAAAGTACCCTATCTAACCATTGACACTCATTTTAGGTGAGATACCTGTATTTACACCCCCCGTTGTGATAAACAGGCCTCCACAATCACTTATAGATCTGCATTCACAGGTACGTTTTTGCAGTGCGTTGCCCCAGTGGGAAAAGTTCGAATTTCATCATTTGAGTTTAACAGATATTTAGTGTATGACGTCGTATAATTGTGTATGGTAAGTTAAAATTTGTGTATCCAACCATTTTCGTGAATTGGTGTTTGGTCACGAAAAACTATTTCCGCTGTTCCGCTCTTTTCTCACATCTTCAGATACCCTATATTTTTACCTAAAAATCTATGCCTAATAGTCAAATCTATGTCATTAAAACTTAAACAATTAAAAACCTATCCGTTGTGTACGCAACGGTACAAAATTACTATATACTATACCTACTGTAAGTTTTAGAATGTTACCTAAATATACTGCACGGCCGTTTTTTTTGTGAATAAATTAATAATAAATTTTACATGTGAATAGTTGAATTAATGCACTAATTATTGGAATAGGTTTATTACGCATTTCCTTCAGAATCTCGTAAATGGTAAATTATCCCATGGCTCATTAATGACTAAGACTACATCAATGATACTTGGCAAGACGTTGTAGATGCTTACAAGGTTATCAACGTTATAAACTAAATCCTAGTGCGTAAGCATTAAGTACTAGGACCTAATAACCTTATTTTACGTTTATATTTATTTCTTCTGGATAGTAGGTATGGGTTTTCTTAAATCCGTTTTTAAATTCAGTATAAACAAATTCAAAACGACGTATGAAAAAAACTACACCTCTCTAGGAAAACGTTTTATATGAAATCTAGCAAATGGCCAAACCTTGTCGCAGCGGAAACTTGAATGGCTTAGCAGTTTATTGACGCACAAATTTCATTAAAACACAATTACCTCACGTCTTACACTAATTTTTGATACCATTTTTTTTCTTCTACTCCATAGGATAAAAAAGTGCCGCTGGGACAACGTTGTCCAAGCGGAAACAGTTTTTCGTGAATAACTCTCCAATGGTTGGGATGCACAAATTTTTACTTAACCACCATACACAATTACACGATTTCATGCACTAAATATCTGTTTAACTCAAATAGTGAAATTCGAACTTTTTCCGCTGAGGCAAAGCAAACTTATTTGCAACGAAATATTGAAACATCTGTCAGATAAAGTATGCGGTTGAAACCAGATAACATTTTAGAAATTGATGTACTTATAATGATGATTTAAATGTAACAGTCCTTAGTTTATAATATCATAAATATTGTTTAGCGTAACTTAGACTTCGGACATATTTCTTCACAATATTTTAAATCGTTTTTTAAATTTACTTTTAGATATTTGGCGTTTTCTAAAAACTCCAACAGCTTGCAATATATATTTTTAGACAATTGAATACATTTTTTTATATTTAAAAAAATCCTTTTACGAGCATTCTCTGGTTGATTAAAATTTGAACTAGCTTTTATGAGTTCTTAATATTTAGGTGCTGAAATATATTGAACGTTTGGTTATCCTGACCAACTAAAAATACGATGTTTTCATTTATCGACGGGCCTGTTGATCTAATGGTTAGTGATCCTGACTGCTAAGCCGGAGGTGGTGGGTTCGATTCCCACCCAGGACAAATATTGTTTGATGAGCCAGGTCATTTGTTTGTGTATATATAAGTATGTTTATCAGCAGTCTGGTTACCATAGCACAGGCTCTGCCTAGTTTGGGATCAGACGGCCGTGTGTGGGATGTGTGATGTATTATTATTAATATTATTTTACACGAAACCATATTCATAAAAAGAAATAATAAGTACCTTCATAGGTATATTCTAGTAATATATATAATAATTTAAAAATAATATAATTATTACTATAGGTATAATAATTTAAAATTGTGATAATAAGTGAAATCTAATATATAGATTTTATAAGAAAATAAAATAAATTTTGTAGTAGTAGGAATTGTGGTGAGATAAGTATTTGTATTAAATTTAATAGGTAATAAATTTCTTGTAAACATTGTAATCCCATGGTCAACAATAAACATGATAATAATTAAATAAATAAAATCGCTGACATTACTGTTTACATTCCTGCTTTCATTCTTAAGACAAATTGATAATTTATGAAAAAAACAAAAAAGATAAACTATTGAGTGTGCAAATGTATGGAGAGTGATGTGTCCCATTTAGTAGTGTATGACTTTCCATAAGCTTTATTTTTAAAATATTTGGGCTGGCATTAAATTTTTTGGTGCTATTTTACGCTGTTACTATCAATTTATCCCTCGAATATACAATTTTGCGAAAAACAATGCATATTTTTAAAAATAAATATATTTTATAACATGTCTTCAAAAAGTTCCTTATGCCGTTTCTTATTTTGTTACGTGGTTTATGGAAAATATTTAAAAACAAGTTAGTAGATTATGGTTTTCTGTGCACTCTTAACGTTTGAGAAGAAACGTAAAGCTAAAAGTAGCATTGCCACTTGTCAAATTCAGTTTGAAATATCGTTTCATTGTGTGGTGCTCGCCGGATTCACAATTTTCTTCTTGTTTTGTAACTGTATTAACAAGGGTAAGTTTATAATTTTTAATGTTTATAGTATTAAGAATAGATAATTGTTTAATAAATTTTTGGATATCTTATTACATACAGTCGATTTATCAGATTTTATTGTAGAAATACATGAAATGAAACTTTATGGTCTATGTTCGTTACTTCCTCTTTGGTTACTTTGCGTGTTTATGTATAAGAAGGAAATGAAGTAACAAAATAGGGAATACGTAAGGCAAGAGTCTACATTGCATTTTTACCCAACTATGGCACAATATAAGGGAGGGCATTATTTTTTACTTTATGTCTATAAGTATGTTAGTTCTTTTGGTAACCGACTTCAAAAAAGGAGGTTCTCAGTTTGACCTGTATGTTTTGTACGTATGTACGTATATATGGTTGTCCCGCGATTTTCTCAAAAACTACTGATTCTATTTGGGTTGGGTTTTCACCATTGGTTTCGTGTGTTTAAGTGGGTCGTAGGTGGCTTAGATTAACAATTACACCCAGTAAGTAGGTGGCACTTCAATCGGGTTCTAGGGTTATATTCTATTTTACGATTTTTTGTTGTGGTTTTGAGTGTGGTTTCCTGAATTCCCCTGATAAAAAACCCTCGCTGAGTTTCTTCTCAGCTGAGCTGTTTTTGAGGTCACAATAGATTTCAGTTTTAAGTTGACGTGATTGCCTAGGAATCTTCAAGATATTAAAGAAAGCTTGAATTTTAATGGTTGAGATTGTACCCGGCGCTGCCAATCGGGTGCACAAGACAACGTCTGTCGAGACAGAGCTGTCTATTCATAAATAATTCAGTAGTTCCTTTCAATAAATATTTAAATTATTTTACTAAATGTTGTTAATTAATATTTTTCTACACATTCTATTTATACTATTTTTTTTTCTTTTAAATCACATTTCTAATTTCTGTGCATCTACCATTTTTTTTAAAACTCTGCGTCGCCCTAAGGTCGACTGGTAGAAAATGCCTACGGCATTAAGTCCGCCTGTGTCACATTTGTGCATAAAGTATAAATAAAATAAAAAAATAAAAAAAATACACATGGCGGAATGAAGCAGGTATATGCGTTTAGGATGAGATTTTGTTTGTTTATTGTTTTGACTTAAACGTAGTTAGGTATTTACTAAAAACCATCGTTATTAGCTAGTTTTAAATGTAAAAGTAATTGTTTGCAGTTAATTCAAGAATGCCATTAACAAACGCAGAAAAGCAGAGACGCTATAGAGAGCGCCTTAAACAAGATCCAGAAAAATTTTATAACTACAGAAAAAAAAAATTAGAGAGAAAAAGGAGAATGAAGAAGAAGAAGAATGAAGAGTTTATTGGATAATTATATGTTTGGTGCCCTAATTGTGATTTTTTCTTATATGATCATTACACTCCAGACGAGCGTGAGATTTGCAATGCGTAATTTTTATAATAATTTCATAAATATTACTAAATAATGCTTAAGTTTATTTGATATACCATTTGTGATTTAGACATACTTACCTATAAGGATTTTTGATTTATTTACTTTAGAATAAGTATAATTATATTTTTTAATAGTACTACTGTACTAATCTTTCTTGTATTAAACTTTCAACGACAGTTCTTTTAAAATACTGTACTCGAACCAAATTCGTAATTTCTAAGATAGCTAATTAACATCATTCTCAATCTTAAGTTCGAATTATGTTAAATAAAAACATTGTTTTGAAGTGTATTGTATACTCAGCCTTATAAGTTCTTGTTTTGTTACCAAAGTTCCTAATTTGTTACTGTCCTAATTGAGATGACTGATTTTTCTCTTAATATTTAAAATTTAACATTTTTTATAATAATTAAGAATGTTATAGCATAGAATGTTGATTTATTTTGTAATTTTAATTAAAAAATGACTGAGATTCTGCCTGTGAACTTAATAATTTAAAATGTTTTCCAAGCAGGTGTTCCAAAGGTAACGAAATGGACATAATGTTGTCTATTTCTTCAATAGCTAAATAGGTAAGCATGCAGTTAGCCACATTAGGTTACTTACAGTCTCTTGCGCTCCGAGACCAAATAACCATTACTATGTTCAGGATGTGGATCCGAAGAGCCAACAATCATCGCAGCTAGCACCAGCGACGAGTACAAGTCAACCAGGGGACAACATAAGTAGAACTAACAAAGTAAGTATTAAGATTCCTTGCTTAATTTTTTTATTATAGTCGAGAGTCCGTCCGAGTCAGAATTTGCCTTATAGAAATTTTGCAAACCTAAAATATCGTAATATAATTATACGCTCTATGGATTGCTCTCTGCTTGTGGATTGATTCGCATCTAACCCTTACTCCAATCCCATTTAACTTAAGTTGCTTCTGCTTCTCCAGGATATGGTGGTACGCATTCCGTTTGATATTGAGAATGGCAATGGCACGAATCCTGTGGTAGACTACTCAGATGCACCACGTGTTATTAAACCGCGTAGAGGAAGGCCTAGTGTCAGAGTAAGTAGTTTATATCAATTTAAACATACAAAAGAGCATTATATAAGTGACCGTGATCAAAATATACGTTAAACGTGGTATGCGTAGAATAAAAACAAAATGTGCTTATTTATAGTGTTGGAAAGTATCTCTGATTTGTGTAGTCGAGTATCTCATGAGTTAATTTGACCTGATTTTATCAGATACTGAATATAGGTGACGCTGATAGCTTTTTGTAATTTCACTTCTATTTCCATAATAATAAATTGATCTATATTTAATATTTGATCCTGAGTGAGGGATACATAAAAATACAAACAAGTTTTTGAAAGCATTCTATGCCGTTCATTCTATGACCGTAAGGATTGAGAAGACGAATAAAAATTAACAAATATACTTTGCAGTAAAAAAAAGATAGTCTAAAAACACTCAAACCCATGCAAAAGTATTTGCACTGAACTTAAAGCACCGAAGCAGTCACATATATACTAACGCCACACCACAGAGGGCGCCAATGACTATGACACAGTAATATTTAATATAATAACTGAACCTTCCAAAAATCTTGAGCCAGAAAAGCTTAAATTTAATAAAAAACGATATCTTTAGTAGGACAGTTTTCTGTATGATCTAAAAGTATTTACTAGTCAAAGCTCTCCTAGTCGTTCATCTATAATAACAGAACTTCTAGCGGGCAGGTCCGTGGGAAGGTGCTGGTTCACTGGGCCGTGCTGCTGAGCGTGCTCTTCTACGTCGAGAACAGGACTCAAGAAAAGCCATACATCAATTAAAACACCTGCAAACGAGACACATGCAGGTTCGTCTTTCATATGCTTGACTTTTCCTTCCTGTTATTTTTTATTCAACATGTGTGTATATTAAGAGTAATAATATAAGCCAGTTTTTTATGATTGCAGGATTACATGGACAGAGTAACCTTATCACAAGCTGTAAACAGCATATGTGGTCCTGAGTCTTCTAGCAACTACATGAATATCGACAACGATCTAATGTACATGGACCAGACCGTTTCATCCAATGTACTCGATCCTACTATTGCATACACTAAGGAACACTCAATAGGAAACGAAACAATCACTAGCTATGCAAATACGAACCCTACAAGTTCTGCAAATGATTCTTCAGCAGGCGGCATTAGTACTGCTATGTCCCAATATGTCAATGCCTTAAAAAACGCTGGACTACCCACCGATTTGCCTATACTGTTTGAATCCGGTGATGGTTCTTACATAAATGTTAACGAGCAAGTCCTTCTTGACATGGTTCAAAGCAGCGAAATACAATATGAGGTTATAGAACAACCTAATATCATAGAAAAAGTTGCAGATCCCAGTGAAATAAAAAGTATTGATGACTTGTCAAAATCTATAGAACGTGGCGAGATCTTGTTAGGTGGTAAGGGTTATGGTGGAAGTAATGATTACGATAAAGACGCATCACAATATAGTCAAACAGAAGATACCATTAACAGTCTTAACGCGATTCTGCCAGATAATCTGGAATCTTTTGCAGAGCAACAAAGCTACACAGTGTTAGACCCACGCCTCCAAGACAACAACAATTCCATGGATAATGTCAATCCACACGATTTCTCCTGTATTGACGGCGACATGCAATTCTTTACCAAATCCATGAGTGATGATGTAAAAAAGTATTACGAAGACCAACAACTCAATGATGCCAGAGTTATGGAGCAGCTATGTCCAGTCAGTAATAGTTTAGATAATAATTTCAGTATATCGTTACTTGACACGAAAACTTCTCATTTAGGCTCTAATTTGAGTCAACAATATAATTCATTAAATTCTGAAGATCTCAGAAGAAATGAAGATTGTTACGACTTTGGTCTGCAGCTTCCACAAAGTTCAGTTTTTAAAGAAGATGCTTTAGATTGTTTAATGGCTACACCTAAACGCAATGATGACGATCAAAGCAATTATGAAGATAGTAGCCATCTAGACCAACGAGCTCAAGAAAGGGATGAAATTATAAAAGATTTGATGAACATTGAAAATAAAATGAATATGGCGCAGAACCATAATCCCACAGTTCCCGAAGAATTGGATATAAATTCAAACACTAGTCCCGACACAGAAATGTCCACAGTCAATTCCTTAAACGTTTCTAATGTTTTCGAAAATGATGATACAGAAAATATGAAAGAACTTAACACGGCGAAAATAAATAGTACAGATTTGTCCACTACCATAACTTCGAATGGGCTGCAATGGGATAATTTAGATATGAACAAAGATCCTGACGAAAATGAAGACAATGTAGTAAATGTAATAAGTAATGATGCAAATTGTGAGAATCAAATCGACACAATTACAGAACCTCAATTTCCAGATTCTGTCATAGATTTAACAAGACCCGTTGAAAGCGTCAAATCTGTGAATAACTGGGGAGATATCATGACCGAACCCGATGATTCGAATAAGGAAAACGAGGACACTGCAAATAGTGACAACGTAAGTTCAGATTTACAGAATGATATACCATTCGCTGTTGGATTGTTACCTCTAAAACAAATACAGCCAACTGAAGAAGGTAGTTTATTAAAAAGGGACAATTTAACAGATGATTTGCTAGATAACGTAGATGCGAAGTGTTTAAAGCGTAAGGTTAAATATAAGAAATTGTGAGAATATTATATTACATAGATAAAATAGATTATAAATAAAACACGTTTGTAAAAGTTATTTTTTAGTTTACCTTATTACTTGGATTAGGCTAATGATGAATTTGAGGAAGGTATTTTATAATAATGAAAAAATTGTGATTCTTGGATTTGTATTCGAGGAGTCAATGTCTTCAATGTTTTTGTGTCATCCAGAATCGATAAAACAGTTTTTTGAACCATGTTAACTACTTGAAAATGATGCTTTTTACTTTACGTCAAGTTGCCATATATAAATTACAAATTTTCGGCACAATAATTCTAAGGTAATAATAGTAGGGGGAGCCCTAGAAGGGATTTCGGGATTTACTGGAGCGTGGCAGATTAACATGGAGGAATACCTTACACACAGTTAAGTACCTCCACCATACATGAGGCCTACTCGTACGTATAAAGGTGATCATCTAGGACAGCCCATCAGATTAGTAAAAAGAAAACGATAGCCACATCTGTGTAAGATTAAGGTAAGTTTCTACTGTCCGTGTAGTGACGGATTAAGAATACGGAATGTCACTACCCCAATTCATCCCGTGGGTGTCGTATGAGCCGACTATGGGCGCAAAACAACGCAGGATACCAGCACTGCAAAAGAAGAAAAACTTGACACAAACCCTATACCAACCCGTCTGGCCAGCGTGGTATAAGTAGGCCAAAACCTCCTTTCTAAGGAGAGGCCTATGTCCAGTAGTGGACTATTAAAGGCTGTTGATGATGAAGTTTAGTCAATTACGTACACATTAGTGGGGATTTAAAAAAAAACAGACTATTTGAGCGTGACATAAAGCAGTACGAGGGTCACAAAGAAGCAAACAATGAATTAAAACTTTTTTTAAATATCTATATAATTTTTCGTGCCTTTATTTGTCACATTTTATCAAAATATTTCAAACCCTGTTTAATCATCATCATCATCAACAGCCTATACTAGTCCACTGCTGGACATAGGCCTCTCCTTAGAAAGGAGGTTAAAAAAACAAAACCTCCTGTTTAATCTGCCTTGCAAAATTGTCGCCAGATTTTTGGTTAGTATGACAGGAACATCAAGCTGAACCGTCTGTTGAAATCTGACACGCTCGGAAATTTCGGAATGGCGATTTTTCGAAATGCAGTTTACATTTTCGATAATTCGCTACCAACATCGTAAATGAAATTTTTAAATCGTCAGAACTTTCAATGGGAGCATTTTTGGCGTCCAAATAACATATCCCCAAAATATCTGATGCGCCCGAATATTATTCTTTAGAGTTCCTCTTATATTTTGGAAGCCTGTAGAAAATTTAAGATCCATATTTAGCATCATGAGCTACTATAATGGAATTGGACAGTCCATGTACAATATGTAAAAATAGGTATAAGTATTACTTGAAAATAAAAGTTTTTATATTCGTGTAGTGTTATACACTGTGGCGGTATAGATATCACAAAAAATGAAATAACAGATAACACGGTTCAATATACGTCGGTTAAAATAAAAAAATAAAAAATTAGTACGAAAATACAGAAATGCAAATTTAGAACAAACTAAATACAATAAAATAATTTCCGAATTAGAACACCATTGATAACATGAGTCGGTGAACTGTACCTACACGGCAGCGTCGCAATGTCGGCGACATCAAAACGACGCCGCCGCCGGCGCCGCCGCCGCAGCCGCCGCCGCGACGAGCGAACTGTGTGCGTTACCCCAGCAAAATAATGTCGAAAATGGTCATTTAAACGTTATAGATAATTAGTTACTCCCCTTCTGTAATTGTTAGGCACATTTTCAAATTTGTTTCATTTAAACTTTTTTAGTTATTTCAAAAAAACATTTCCTGCTGGGGTAACGTTTGAAACGTTACCGCAGCCAGACATTTTCTTTTTTAATTGTAATATTGAAATAAATTTTAGCTAAATAATTAGTTATCTGGACTAGGTAAATGTTACAACTTATTTGGTATTTGTATTTTCTTCGGCTGCGAAGTTATTCGAAATCCTGCTGGAGTAACGTTTGTGGGTTTGCTGGATCTCTGAAACGGGTAAGCGGATTGTGACCATCTTTTGTACATAACTTCTTAAGGATTAGTTTTAATTTGTTCGACACTAAAATAACATAAATTATGGACAGTTTAAAAATTATTTAGGTAAGTATGAAAACACTTCAATACGTCCTAACACTTTAAATAAGACCTCTAAAGACTTACTTGAAACGTTATTCTATTGCTTGTAACTACCTTCAAATGTATACGAATTTTCGTAAGAATACTGTAAGTGACTAAAAAGTTATGATGAAATGTAGCTCTCCACCTTCACGATCACAATGTGTGCGGCCTTTTTGGCCACCTATAAACCTGTGTGTGGATATATAAACTTAATGTTATGCCAATAATTAGTTGTTTAGTTCAGTTGTCTACCTGTAAAATTTCAGCGTAGTACATATAATAATTTACGAGATAATTAAATAAAAGTCTTTAGAAGGTGCAAGACCGTGGTAACCCGACCATGTTTAGGTGGTTACAAAAAAGCGATCACCCAGTACATTGTGCTGGCTTTTAAAATATGTAGGATATTATTTGCAAGTTTACTACGGATATGTACATAAGTGTTACAAAAAACTACATGTTTTTTAAATATTTTTTATTTAGGATTGTTTATTGCATAATTAGTAATCAGCCGGGAGATTAGGTATTGTTTTGAATGCTTTTGTTTTCTCGTAATGTTTAGGTGAATTGTTTATAATTGTTCATAGAATTGGTACCTGCGTAGTATTTGTTAATTGAAGTTTAATTTTAGGGTAGGTATAGGTAATTTAAGTTTTGAAGAGTGTAACGTATGCGTTGTAAATAGGTATTTTGTGAATAGATGGGGATTTTTTTAAGTGATGAATCGACTTAGGCTAGCATATCGCGAACAAACTCTGTATTGCATTATTTCTGTAATAATGTTGGAGAAAATAAAATATTTGATCACAAAATCGCGGTGAGTTAAATTATAATAAAATAAATTATTTATGTAAAATTAGTAATAAGTGATATACCTACCTACAAGTTATGATCGTTTTTAATTTTTCACCCTGAACGAAATTTCAATATTAGCATTAGTAATTAATATCCTAAGACAAGAATTGACAATTACTTAAATTGAATCGAATTAGCATTAATGCCCATTATTAGTAATTAGGTATACACATATTGAAGAACTCTCAAGAATACGATAAATATTTGCAAAAATAGAAAGCGGAAGCGCACACGTACTTTACAACACGTATATTATCTGCCTAAGGGTCAAGTTTAGTGCACTAGATACAAATTGCAAACAATGAAGTATCCCTTCGCCCCTCCCCTCCCGCGTTCTAGCGAAGGATGTATTATCAGCGATTCTTGATTGACAAATATTATCTGACCAATAATTTTATCTATAAAAATGTATCACTTTCAACACGAAATCAACAGTCACGGGCTCAACGCTTAACGGTAGGTACATAGGTATAGATAATTCTCGGTTCTCGGTATAGACCACAGAACAATATTACCTACTCTTACGAGGTATACTACTGTCGGGCGATGCAATGTTGATACATTTTAATTTACAACTGTATTCTTCTACTATTCGGTCTATTTTAACTTATTGTAGATGACTTGTTGCTTTAAATATTTTGATGCATTCAAGTCTAAGCTCCATACACCCCAAAATAAAATACAATTACTTTAGTGTTATTTCTTTACAAAAAAAATCAAAGAAATGAAACGATTTCTTATTGGTTTAAATTTTCGATTTATTGCAGTCAGGTGAATCGTTCATACATGTATCTACATATTTATAATTTTAGCGGACCAGTGCAGATTTTCTGTTGATTGTAGCTCCGGTAGTAAAAAGACTAAAGAAATTTTAAGTAAAGAAACTAGTGCTTAAGATCAATTAGGGAAAAAACAAAATAAATAATAGGTAGGTAATAATAATGAATAAATATTGAATGTATTTAACACTGTACGCAACTGTACCGAAATCGTAAGGTGTATTACACTAAACATTTTAAAAGACAGCGCAATGTACTGGGTGATCGCTTTTTTGTAACCACCTAAACATGGTCGGGTTACCACGGTCTTGCACCTTCTAATGACTTTTATTTAATTATCTCGTAAATTATTATATGTACTACGCTGAAATTTTACAGGTAGACAACTGAACTAAACAACTAATTATTGGCATAACATTAAGTTTATATATCCACACACAGGTTTATAGGTGGCCAAAAAGGCCGCACACATTGTGATCGTGAAGGTGGAGAGCTACATTTCATCATAACTTTTTAGTCACTTACAGTATTCTTACGAAAATTCGTATACATTTGAAGGTAGTTACAAGCAATAGAATAACGTTTCAAGTAAGTCTTTAGAGGTCTTATTTAAAGTGTTAGGACGTATTGAAGTGTTTTCATACTTACCTAAATAATTTTTAAACTGTCCATAATTTATGTTATTTTAGTGTCGAACAAATTAAAACTAATCCTTAAGAAGTTATGTACAAAAGATGGTCACAATCCGCTTACCCGTTTCAGAGATCCAGCAAACCCACAAACGTTACTCCAGCAGGATTTCGAATAACTTCGCAGCCGAAGAAAATACAAATACCAAATAAGTTGTAACATTTACCTAGTCCAGATAACTAATTATTTAGCTAAAATTTATTTCAATATTACAATTAAAAAAGAAAATGTCTGGCTGCGGTAACGTTTCAAACGTTACCCCAGCAGGAAATGTTTTTTTTGAAATAACTAAAAAAGTTTAAGTGAAACAAATTTAAAAATGTGCCTAACAATTACAGAAGGGGAGCAACTAATTATCTATAAAGTTTAAATGACCATTTTCGACATTATTTTGCTGGGGTAACGCACACAGCGAACTTTACATTCTTATTACCTACCTACCAATCACTTCACTTGCTTTTAAAAATCTATTTATAAAGAATGCGATTTTATTCACGTGTTTATTTCGTGAATGCTCGACTAGCTTCCGACCCAGCAGTACGCGTCACTCCTTGAAAAAGTAGTTACCTTGGTTGTCTCGTAATCTTTGTACCGCCCTTACAAAAATTCGGCAGTCTGTAGGACATACACGATTGACTCCATACGTGTCCGTAAAGCAAAAGATGCGTTTTGATAGAGTTTTCCATAAATTAACATCATAGCAGGATATTCCGCCGCTGTGAAGGTCACTCACGGCATTATGGATGTTGATATCGATAACCCAATAAAATTAAAAGACTGATAATGCACTCAGTTTCACACTACACTACACACAGAACCTAATAGTGACTTTTCAAAATAAAATTAGCAGGACTCCTTACATTACGAAGTTTTGCGCACACGATAACATTAATTGTTCACACCATTGCCGTGTATTATGACGAAAGCAATAAGACTAAACAATTATTACCACAAGAAAACTTCTCTAAACAAATATGTATCTCATAAACAACAACAATATTATTATTAGGTACGGTTATTTGTCGTGAGCGCATCTACAAGGATACGGCATAGCATAAGCTCGCCGGTGGCCAAGGGCCGACTGACTGTCCTTACTGGATGAACTAATTAAAAACGCGTGTTGCATCGTGATGACGTAATAATCAACATATTTCGTTCGATTCGGGTGTAGTAAAAGCGGCAACGTGTGATTACCGCGTCGCGTATACAGCTGATCGCCGCCTGAGGTCAATGTATTATGACTGCATGTACACATGATGTTGCAATTTACGAAACACAAAAATGAGTCCTGTGGCTAAACTACTGGATATATTTTGTTCATATTTTGCAAATCGCCTAGAAATTAAGGGCAGAATATGTGGCTTAAGTATTTGGGATAGGAAATGAAACTCTCTGTATAGCTATCTGTTATGACTTACATAAGTAGTTCAAGTTAGGCATGCCTAGAGTTGCCAGGTTCATGGAAATCCGCGAATGTCATATTCATCCTTTTTCTTCTATGTGAAGACTTAGGCTTAGGCAACTTAACTTTTAAAAATGTGATCGAAATCCGATACAGTAACGCCAAAATAATGGGCACGGGCCAAAAAACAAAACAGATATCCACTTTTTCTTCCGAGTAATACTTAAATTATATTGCATTATGGCTCAAATTATACTGATATATAGCAGCTAAAATTAGAAATTAGATAACATTTTTTGAAGCCTACATTTAAGAGAAAAAGTTATTTTATGTTAGTAGATATTTAAAAATCTATATTAAATTATGTATAGCTCATAAATCAACTCTTGTTCCAAACCATTAAAATTATGGGTATTATAATTTTATAAGTGAGTCAAATATTTTAAACCTAACGGTACTTATCCAAATTAACTACTTATCAACTGTCAAAAACAAATTAAACGAATGGATAGGGTGCAGCAGATAGCTAAGTTATCACATCACCGACCTCCTAGACAGAAAAGATGTAAAACGGCAAATAAAATAGGATATTTTGGATAAGATTTTACTCGAAACAAATACATATTACAATGACAATTTTAACATTTATAAGGCATTTCATATCATTTTTAAATCTAGTACACTACAACAATATTTAGATATATGTATCGAGATTCTTCTAGCAGGCAAATGCAGTAGGCGGGATTGATACTAACCTTTTGTATGGTTGTCTTGTAATATGAATGGATATATTAACAACTGATATTATTAGGGCTAAAGTAGCTAGACTACGTCGCCCATTCTGCACCGTCCAGCCTTTCATTAGAACAAATAAGCTTAGCAAAAATAGTTTTATTTAATTTTACACGTGTACATCTGGCTACTGAAATGCTTTTTCAAATGTTTTTGAATATGACTTCGAATGAATCAATTGCACGTCACGAACGGATTTTGTCTTCAAGAATATCTACCACATCAAACATATGATAACATAATGACACAACATTGTGCCGAATTGTTTAAATAATTATGAGCTGCGATCTTAACAAATTAGAAATGTGAGCGTAATGACTTCTTAAGTTTAGTGAACTGAGTTTTTTATCGGAAAATAGCAAACTGCAAACACGGCGTAACGCTTTCGTAAAGTGAGTGGAATCAATTTCAAAAGCATTTGAGATTTAATAAAAGTAGCCCATTAAGAAATTTTTACATCGAGATGGCCGACTGTAGGGAATACACTATACAAGATTGGTCCTTAAAATTCTTTAGGGATTTTACATTTTAAAAAAAGAATTACACTGTTTACGAAAAAATAAACATCATGTAACATCTAAACTTGTATTGAACACTTTGTATAATATATAAAAAATAAAACTAACATTTAAAATAAATCAGATCAATGATAAAATGGCTCGGATTGGTGGTACCTACGTACAAATAGCTGACATTACAAAATATTCTTCTTAATTACTACACTATGTGATATGGACTTATATTAATGAATGTAATATAAAGCTTACATACTTAATATCAAACGGTATTACAATAATTATTGTCAATACAAAATTGACATATCATTAATATATAAATATATAAATATAATGTATGTACATACATAAGAAAAAAGTAAATGTTTATATTACAGTGTTTAAGTATAAGTAAGGTAAAACCTCATATTCTTTTAATTATTGCCATTCCAGAATACCGCTTCTTAAACTGGTCTGACCAAGAAGGCTAACTGACAGTCATTGTACCCCAGAGATTATACCGCGCCACTGTAGGGGTTAAAATATAGGGTCTACCAATAGGGATGACCTGGTTTTGACAGCTCATAGCGGCCATGTTTGATGATGGATCTTTGATGTCTCTTGACATTTGTGTTCAGTAAGGTTTGCCATTTTATCATGTCACGTTTCACTTTAAACCAACGCTTGGAAATTGTCCAAAACTCCTTTGATAGTGACGAAGGAAACCCTGTTACTGTGAATGGCGAGCGCTATAACTCGATGTTAACCGAATATTTCTTTCCGGAATTTGATGATTTGATGCAGACGATCTTTATTTTCAACAAGAAGGTGCACCACCTCACATTACTCGAGTGAACATGGAATTATTGCGTGGAAAGTTTGGTGAGTCGTTAATTTCGAGAAATGGACCGATCAGTTCGCCACCAAGAGCGTGTTATTTAACACCTTTAGACTATTTTCTTTGGGGTAACGTTAAGTCTAAAGTGTACAGCAATAATCCAGCTACAATTCGTGACCTAAAAACCAACATTCGACGAGCCATAGCCGACATACCGGCCGAAATGGTGCACCGCGTCATCGAAAATTGGCGTGAGCGGGTGACCGTTTGCAAAAAGAGCCGCGGCGGTCATTTGGCTGATATATTATTTAAAACATAAATGGCATAAAATTATCTATCAAATAAATCAATTGGATGCATTTTTCATCAAAAATTGTGTTTTATTAAATTTTTGAACCAGGACGCTCTTATTGGTAGACCCCATATATCTAGAAATAATAACGTATCCACTGGTAACTCGTATGAAAAGGGCTGATATGTACGAGTTCATTGTTATAAGCAATATTTCGAATAAAAAATTCCAATTTAAAATTTTATTTAACAAGTGATTATATTTATCATAATTAATGGTGTTCAATTTTATTAAAAAATTAAATAATCCATACACAGTCTTGTGCTACAAATATTTTAAGTCGGATTAAACTTTAGTTTTCTTTTTACAAGAAAATGTCGCCTCCATTACGTATAAATGTAGATTAATAAAGGAGATTCTAATAACCTTTTATCAAATTGAATTAATGGAGGTTTTACTTTTTTTTACATGAGAATCTATCATATTCCTATCACTATCATCATATATCTACAGTTGACAAAATCAGGGACCTGTATAATAACGGTAAAGTACCGTAAATAGTTTTCAATGTTTAACAAAATGTTATTTGTGCTAAACACAAAAAAAACATTTGAGGAATTCAGAACTATTTTAAACAAATGCGCTTCTGTCTAATATAGAAGGACAAGCTATTCACTAAAATGCACAATTTTTGGAAACGATTTTCTCAGTGTTTCTATACACGGGCAACTTTCTGTTAAATGTATAAGTGGAAGTCAAATTGTACTGTCAAAGTACTTTTTGAATTTCAATCGTTCAATCATTTGTTGACTTGTCAATACACACTTATGATAAAAAAACAAAGGTGTTAATATTAAACTAAGTTTAGCCTTAACTAAACAAAAATCTTAACAGCTTATCTCAAAGTATTGTTCTTTGCTTTAAAAATATAAAAATATTAAATCTGAGCGAAAGTAATGGCCGGATGCATATCACAACCCGATGTCAAAGAACAAAAGGAATGTATAAAACAATTATACATAATTTGTAAAATTGTAAATGAAGCTGCAACAGGTGTATAAATAAATATTATCACGACATCATGAGTCGCATGAAATTTAAGAGTAAAGTAATTATTGATACCTCAATTTGTAAATGTTTATTAGCTGAATTTCTAGAGTAATATCCATAGGCGTCTGTGTGATAGTCTCCCATTTGGAAAGTGATGGCAGGCGAGGACATTCTGCCGTCGCCGCCGTTGGAGTACGCGAGTACTCGCAAGTTGTACGACTTGCCTGGCATCAAGTTCATCACGTACGCTTCTAACTTGTGTTCCACTTCGACTATTGTGTCGTTCGCAGTGCTCATGTCTTGATCTATCTCCCATACCCTCACCTGGAATTAATAAAGTTCCATATTTTATTTGGCTCTTATATTTAAATTTCGTTGTAATCTATAGTTTACATTACACTAACCACTGTGGTATAGTTTGGTTGTTTTAGCAATTAACCCTCTTGAATGAAAAATAAATCGTAATATTAAGAGAATGTATTAGTAAGACGGGATCTAGTGAGCGTTTTACACAGTATGTCTTCCATTCGCTGTTTTAAATCTTTATAACACTGGTTTATACAGTTTCTTGTTTATTAAAAAACGAATTTCGTTGAAATTAAGACGAGACTATGTCTATGTACCTTATATCCAAGTAGAGGTTCTTCCTCATCTGTAGGTTGCACGTATCGCCAAACAACACGAACTGTGGTGGGATTGTACGCCCATACATTAACTGAGGCAGGCGGTTTTTGAGGCGCCTTTCGGAATGTACGCTCTAAGTACCGCTCGCTCTCAGGACCTTCGCCCGCTGAGTTGAAAGCCATCGCCTGGGAAAAATATGGAATGCTATGTATATGTATACACATAATGTAGAGGCGTATTTAAAAATTTGAAGCATCGGACACGAGATAATTTTAGCTAAGAAAATCGTTGTTTTCCTAATTTACTGAAAATTAGGAAAAAATATTAAATTATTTTTTAGGAAAATGCTAAACAACAGAAATATATTATTTTGATTGATTCTCGGGAGCTGTAAGGTTAGCAAACCAACATCTTTTGGGATCAAAGCCAATTTCGACTGCTCGTGGTGCATTCTAGTACTCCTAAACACTGTTTACGTGACCAAAATTCCCCTAAATGGACATATAAAAAAATTGTATATATAGTACTCTGTAGAGGCTGTCTCTAAATAAAATCAACCAACCCTGTCGAAATACTAAGGCAAATTGCATGAAAGACCTAATACCCACAATATCCTCACATACAATTTCCAAGCCCTGAAATTGTAGGATTGATGAAGACGAGGGATCAGTTGAGGTTAAAAACGGTTTAATAGACTTAAACTGGGACTTTCTAAACCCTTCAGAATTTAGAAAAGAGGACCAAAATAAAAGAAGATAATGTTATATTTGTCTTACATTTTACTTTTATAAAACTTTCATTAAGGTCCTAAACAATCGTATAGATAGAAAACTGTATGAGCATAAACAATCGCATAAGCAACGGGTTCCTTATGACAGAAGGTCTCGCCGAGGCTAGCTCTTAAAAAGACGGCGTTATGACACGTATACCGACAGAGCTGGTTCGAGGTGGCCCAGAAAATTAAAGGATTTGGGAGAAGCATTTCTATATAGAAGAAGTCCTTTTTTTATTTTCTTTTATGGTTTTTAGTTTTGTTAAATTTGCTACAATTTTACTATTCATAATATAATCTAGTCTGCTGATCTCGTAAAGTGCGTAAGTTTTTAGTTATGTATAAAGTCAAGTTGCAATTTTTTTATAATTATTATGTTGTCTGTATGTGAATGCTGTGCATATATTTTGTAATTAGAGAAGCATGTGTACTTACAATTGTTTTCGAGAATCAATCCTAAGTGACAGTAACATATTTGTCATTTATTATCCGGTTAGTTAGTCACTACCAGCGCGTCAACGTACTTGCGATAATTCATTGCATATTGACTGTCATATGGTAAGAAATGAAACATCAAAAACTTACCTTTACGTAGTAGTAAGTGTCAGGTTGCAATCCAACAATGAGTGCCCAGTTGCGTGTCGTCCTTGATAAATAATAAATACATTCTTCCTCCTTATTTGCCTGTTTCCAGTACTTCAAACGGTGACCGATCAGCTTGCCACGCAATCTCTCACGCGACTGGTCAATAGGATTCCACGTCACGTTCAAAGACGTCGAGTTGAACGACCTCGCATACACCATCTGTGGCGCCACTTGAGGCATATCCTCTGCGGAGTATATTGTCTTGACCTCACTCTCTGGACCAGCCCCAATGTCATTGAAGGCCTGAACTTTAACATCGTATGGCGTATAGAAATAACTCGTTGAAATATGAACAACATATGTTCCAATGTTCCCATACTTCTTGAGAGATAATGATTGAAATTCAACTTCCGTTCCATTACGACGCCAAAATATTTTGTAATAAATACCTGGGCCATTCTGTAAGGATGGTGGTAATGGTGTCCAAGTAATGGTAAGGTCGCCAGTTTTTCCACCACCACCTCCAACATTCGCTGGTGCCTGATAGGGTTTGTCTGCAGGCGTGGAGAACTGAGGACTAGGCGCAGATGGTTTTCCAGGTCCTAACAAATTTACAGCTTGAACTCTGAATTCATAAATAGCCCATGGCATTAAGGTCGTTGTTAAAGTTACACGTTTACGTCCATTATATCGATCTACTTCTATCACATTGGCTACATTTTCACTAATGACATACCATGTCGAGTTCCAGTGGGTACGACCAGTTACTATATAGCCACTGATGGGGCGACCATTGGAATTACTGTCTGTCCATTCTAAAGTGACGGATGAGCGACCTATATTCAGTGTCTGTACACCGCCGGGAGGACCAGGCGGGCCTTCTATTCGTAATTGTGTGTGGGAAGAAATGCGGCCGATTGCTGATTTTACAACACACTCGTAATCACCGACATCAGACAGACTCACATTAAGTATAGTTAACTCTCCTCCGTCAATTTTGATTCTCTTATCAGCAAATAAATCAGCGGCTTCTTTCATTCGAATACCATTATGGTTCCAGAGGTAGGCGGAATCTAAGATTGGATCTATTTCCGCGTTACAATGTAAGAAGACCACTTGATTAACTTGCGTCGTGATGCGCGGAGGCAACGGTTCAAGGAAGCGTGGAGTACGCAAAACAATCAGCCGTCCTCGACTTTCATCAGTACCATATTGATTTTTAGCTACACAAGTATAAATTCCCTCGTCATCCCTTGATAACTGCCTTATTATGAGGTTCCCAGTGTCAGTAATAAAGCGCTTTCCTCCAGCACCAATGACAATGTTGTCTTTTTTCCAAGTAAATGTAGGTTTAGGAGCTGCTTCAGGATTACATCTTAATGTAACATTACCACCTTCTGATCCATAAGTTTCAGATTCTAATGGTTTCTTCTTAAACGATGGCTTCAGCGACAACACACGCAGCTGTCCAGTTGAGAAACTAGCTTTCAATTGATTTTGAGCTGCACATTGGAACATACCAGGATCCCTAGTTGGATCCAAATATTTTATTATTAATACATTATCTTGAATAATATAACGATCTCTGTCTTCAGGTTCTAAAGTATCCATAGAAAGCTTCTTTCCATTTTTCCACCAAGTGTAATTAACATCTGGAATACCAAATGCTTCACAATTCCAGTGTAACTCACCTTTGTTGTCCATATGTTTATCGGCCAAAGGAATAGTGAAGTTTGGTTCAGCTTGTACTTTTAAGAAGACACTGTTAGATATACGAGCCCTGTCATTGTGAACATCACAAATATATTCTCCCTCATCTTCAACTCCTACATTAGGAATTGTCAAAACACGGTCATATTTACTTAAGCGTGCTTTCTTCGGCATTGCGCCATTTTTCCTTGTCCAATTATAAGAAGGAACTGGATAACCAAAAGTGACACACTCTAATCGAATTTCCTGGCCTACTACAGGTGCTTCAGGAAATACTTTAGGGAAGTTATTAGGGAATTTAAGCTGTTGATAGTCTGAATGAGGATACACCAAAAGTGGGAAAAAGGGACCATTTCTTCCTTGATCTGATACTTTACTCATGACATTACAACTGTAATTTCCTCTATCAATTGTTTCCAGGGCAGAAAAATAAAGACCTCCATCGTAGGACACAAACACACGTTTGTCTTCCTCAACGAGATTTGGGAAATAGCCACGAGCCCATAAGAAGTTTACTCCTGGATAGTATGATGGAGGATCACAATACATAACTTTACCCCAATATTGATAACCACTTTCAATAGGTCTCTTTTGATTGAACTCTCTAATAAAACCAAATGATAAACGTATAGATTCCGAGCGTATTGTACCAAATTTATTTGAAGCAGTACAGTGGTATTTTGCATTGTCTTTTTCAGTGTCAGGGTTGTAAATCATAAGTGTTCCACCACTAACAACAAATCTAGTCTCAACTAATGGGTCGATTTCTGTAAAAATTGGACTATCTACTTGATATTCCTCCCTGTACCATTTGTACACTGGAGCAGGATAGCCACCAGCAATACAAGTTATTTGTACATGATAGTTTCGCTGCGGATCATAAATTGTATCTACAGGTTCCTTTATGAAGTAGGGGCCTCTAGGTATTCTCTCTGGATCAAATGTTTCTAAGCCATAAGTAAAAGATCTCTCTTCTTCAATAAGATAATGTAGCCTTTGTGTTTGACCTTCACAAATAAAATGATAATACTGAGTACCTTCAACAGGGAATAAACCCCAACGGCCATCTTCATGTGAAAACCTGTACACTAGGTATTCTCGTGGTAAAATGTTAAAACTGTTGTATATTGCTGTACGATCATTGAAAAATGCATTTTCAAGACCAGTTAGTTGTGATCCATCAGCATCATTAGACCAGTAACCAGGTGACTGCTGATGTGCGCCAATATACCAAGAACCCTTCTGCGGATCTAAGCTCATGAGATGGGTTATAATAAAACCATGTTCTTCAGGGCTGTTTACAGCAGCCAAATCTGCTTCATATGCCAAACATATCTTACGAGCCTCGTTTCTTGGACGATTCGGCGATTTTGTAAACCGGTAACAAGATTCTCGATATCTGATCCAATTCGGCGGGCATTTGTATCTTTCTTCATAATCTAAGCCTGCATAATAAGAAGCTGTATTTTGAGGATCTACGTCGTTGTCGTTATCGCCATAGATGGATGGATTGGAGTTAAAATTATCTGAATAAAATGAACTCTGACCGCTATTGTAATCGTTAAGATTTTGGTTCACTGGAAAGCTACCATAAGGTATTTGAGAATTCTGTCGATACAGAGAACCATTTTGATTATTATTTTGATATTGCTGTTGAGGATAGTTGGGATTATACACACCACTGGAATCGGAAACTTGTGTCTTCACACAACTCGTCACAGAGAGTAATAACATGAAAATCTTCATTTTCTGACACAAATTGAACGATACAATATCATAATTTAGTAAGCATAAACTTAATTTCTTAGTTTTGGATGAACACAATTTTGCTTAACAAGATTTTCATTCTAAGAAATCGTTTCTGATTTAAAAAATGTAAATATGGAATGATGACAAACACCTCAATAGAAGCCTCGCCCAACTGTTCAACTTCGAATAGTGTTGCCGATTTAAAAAGCTAAAGCGAAGCTACCAAAAAAACGTACTCCAGTATTAATAATTTAGTAGGTTATAATTAATCGATTTGTCCGTGTGGTGACGGATTAAGAATACGGAATGTCACCACCCCTATTCATCCCATGGGTGTCGTAAGAGCACTGCAAAAAGAAGGAAAACTTGAAATAAACCCTATACCAACCCGTCTGGCCAGCGTGGTATAGTAGGCCAAAACCTCCTTTCTAGGAGAGGCCTATGTCCAGCTGTGGACTATTATAGGCTGTTGATGATGATGATGAATCGAACTAAATCAATACAAACTAGAATACTTTGCAGCTCTTTTCATATAGAAAACTTCATGTAAAACTTATCCCTTAAGTAAATTACTATGTGTGCTGTATAAATTCTGTGTTCTCTGTAAATTGTAGTTCTGCCATACATATGTAAGAAATTTTATACTTCATTTGGATTTTGCATCTAGACATCATTGTAATCTTTTATAGCTGTGAATTCGATTTCTCATCAGTAACAAAATTAAATTGTCCAAATAGTAACGAGCATCTTAATACTAAAAGCTGCACCCAATGATTTACTAATTTGTAACACTGTTATAATGTCACTGACGTAGTGACGTAGACCATAGAGATAAAAATCACAGAGAGAACACGGGGTACAGCGGCCTGGTGTCCGAGGAGATTTCCGGACGGAAAAAAAAACAAACAAAAAAAGGGGTACAGCCTATAAGTGGAAGCGATACAGGCAACGAGAGAGACGGATACCCTATAGTTCCCTTTGCCTCTGTTTAGCTAGGCTGCGATTGGCTATTGTGAAGTAGGCATGGTTTTAATCGTAGAATAGGCGGGAGAAATTTCCCCAGCCAAATACAGAGCTCGACTAGAGAGAACTATCTATTATCAACCTCTCTCTCTCGTTGCATATATTGCAAGATATGTATATACCCTATGCTATGCGGGCACGGGTAACTTTTGTCATTGTCACGTCACGTGATCAAGTCTCCAGCGTGGAGGACGCGCACTGGCGCGTGACGTGACAACTGGGTGACATTTTTGTCCGACGACAAGTCCGTGACAAAATTGTCACCGGTAGGTATTTTTTAAAGCAGTTTTTATAGCCAAATGACGCTTATGGCCTATCCACGATATTTCATTATCATAATTTAAATGCGTTTTTTTCAAACACAACAAAACGAAACGATCATTGGTAATGTGAGAAAACAAGACAAGAAAAATCGTTTCAAGCAGAAAACGGAGTGTTTAGGATGTTTTTTAAGAAAATTGTAGATTGTTCTGCTGTGGTTGGTACTAAAATCATTAAAGGTCTTTAATCATTTTAAGTAAATACTAGACTTGCAACGAATAGTATATTCGGCAGTATACCGAATACCGAATATTCGGCGAGGCCCCTGACCGAATAGCCGAATATTAGGCAAAAGTATTCGGCTGGATTTTAGCGCCAAAAACTTGTACAGACGTGAATTAAATTATGTACCTGTTTTATGTACCAATGACTACTTAATAAATGATTATAAAAGAAAGAAGAACCTTACCCTTCTAAATTTTGATTACCACAATAATTCAAATACATAAAATCCTCTATTTTTCCAATTCAGAAGATGATTATGTACCTGTGTTATGCACCAATGACTACTTAAACGATTATAACAGAAATGAAAATATGAATATATACGTAATCAATCGATTTTAATTTTTCATTTTACCAATTATTTCTCAATGACAAAATATATTATTTAAGTATTCGGTATTCGGCCGAATAATATGTAGATATTCGGTATTCGGCCGAATATAATAAAAGCAGCCGAATACCGAATAGTAACCGAATATTCGTTGCAAGTCTAGTAAATACCGATGTCGAGATGCCCAGAAATTTTATGCTTTTAAATTCATAAATAAATTTCAATGACTTCAATCTCGGAAGATCCACTGGCCAGATCCATGACTGATCTAATGACGATATTTTTCTCATTGGATCCTGATTTGAAGATTTGGATCTATAGATAAATTTTTTACATTCAATCTCAGATGATCCATTGGGCAGATCCATAATGGATTTAATGATATTTTATTATCCTGATGTCAATACGTGGTTCTACTGAGATTTTTTACTCAAAAAATCCACTAACTAGATCCGTGATGGATCTAATGACATGTTATGTATCTCTCATTAGATAGGTACTCTTTTAAAGTTGTAGGACCACAAAGAACTCGTTCTCACTGGATCGATAGAAATAAATAAACAATATTTTGTTAGCCATTTAACTTACATGATGAGTCTTTCTGATATAAACAAATATGAGTAAAACATTAATATTTATGTCATATTGACATTGCAGTTTAGTGCATTGCAGTATTGATGATCATATTCTTTATAAAAAGGCACTGTCGGTGTGAAAATTACAAATCTTCAAAATTTTATTGTACTTTATCAGTATCGTTAAATTCGGTGAGTGATGTCTTTGTGTATAGCAGCCTTTCCCAAAGTAGGCGATAACGCCCCTTTGTAGGCGCTGCAGACCTAAGGAGACCCAAAAAAAATTGGGGCCTTTAGAGGCTTGGGGCCGATTCGTAATTTCATCTAGCTTGTGAATATCGACTAATATTAATTAAGAGATTGCTCAAACTCAGTTCGATATTTCTCTCCACGTAATAAATAAAATAAAAAATCATGTCAATATCGGTCACTCCGTTTCGCAATGAAAAACAAACAAACAAATATAAAGACAACAGACACACTTTCGCATTTTAATAGTTATCAGTATTCCTAGGTAATTTTCGTAGATAATAGACCGCGGGCAATTATGTTTTAACAAGTTTTTGTTAAATAACCCGATTTGTGCATTCCTGTATCAATCGCCTGGTTCTTAGAATACTTGTCCTTACTTGTTGAGTACGATTTAGCGTCGAATGAAATAAACGAGTTTATCCATGTTTATCTTATTCCCGCCGGTGCGTGCTGCTTTACCGAACGTGGCGACTGGCGGCTGTTCTTGAGTAAATTGGAACCTGATATCAACAAACTTATTAAACAGCATCAGATTCATCCTTCACATTAGTTTTTATATAAGAATCGATTATGTTTTTCTAAGTAAATGCACCTAACATTTTATAAATTACGTGATTATTTTTCCTTTCCTTCTTAATTCACTCAAATACTACCATCATGTATATTTCCAGGCAATTCTTTAGCTTGTAAAGGCCGTCCTCTACCAACCACTCATTGAAGGGCGAAATAATCTTCACAGTCTCAATTTTTCCCTTGGTAAATCTAAATAATAATTTAACGTTAAAACGAATATTACCAATTTTAGTGACTTGAACCATGATTAAATATAGTAAACTGTAATGCATGCCTTAATTTTCATTATTTAAACCTCGGTACCTCTACGGAATAGCTTGTTAAATGTGAAATGTTTTTTGATTTATTTAATGCGCAACATTCGTATTATTATTTTTAAAGAGATTATAAACAAATCCAAAATAAAGTTAAATCGTTTTACAACTAAGCATTCTCAGGTAGAAATGCTTTAAATATGGCAAGATTCTCATGCGCCTCACCGTTGCAGAACTTAGAACAGTAGGTTCCAGAGTAAAAGCTTAGGCGTAAGAAGGATTATAAATAAATAGGTTTTCATTGTTCACGGTTTATTCTCCAAGTTATCAACAAGAAATAAGGAGTCAATAATTATAGTAATACTTATACTGTAGGTATACCTAAAACAGATAAAACATACACGATTTCTATACCATTCAGAAAAGTATACAGTGCTGTATAAATTGTTAGTTACATTTACTCCAAAAACTATCATTATTTTTCGTTTCCTTTTCCGCTCGCAAGTATATTCTCCTTATATTATTTCATCACAGATTAATAATGTACTTCTTTGTTTCGTGTTTATACAAAGAAATAAATAGATAGGGCGGAATATAGCCTTGACTGTATAATATATAACTGCTATCATTATACAGAGTTCGAAAATATTATACAGAAGTGTATACTGCATTAAATAACTGCCAATGCATGTATGTAACTTTTGTGTGTATTCATTTCATTAGCATTATTTAGCACATGTATAATATGTTGCTCCAGAATAAGTTAAAAATTATTTGTTAACTGTATTATCTTATTTACATATTTTTTTTGCGATATGCATAATACAATATGATTCAATAAATTTTCCTAATGTTTACAAGGCTGTATAAATAAAAACATAACTCATTTTATAATTAAAGTAAAATATAGTACGATATTAATAAAATTATTTAAGGGGAGCCAATAGTATCAAACATAACAAAAAACAAAATGTCATACTATAAATTTCATAAAGAAGTTACTAGCATAATCTCAGAACATGATTTATAACAGAAAAGTGATGTATCAATAAGTAAAAGTTCCCGGGAAACAGAACCAGACGTAGGAACATGGAGCGCACGGTAATGTTCAATAGAATCTACTTGCTTACAATACGAATTGCACTTGTTCATGGTCGATGATTAAGTACAACCTCGCTTGCGTAAGGCCATCCAACCCTGTGACTTGATACCTTCACTCCAAATACACAAATATCATCTACTATGTTCAAGAATAACCACGTATACTATTGCACACACAGTATAAGATTATGCTAAAGTCTTACAACTTAATAATGTGGTAACTACATGTCGTTAATTGTCTAATATTACAATTACACTAATCGTTTCGCCGCAGCGTGCTTCACTTATTTTGCCTATCTACCCAAAACACCGTACACCGACGTTAAATAGCACCCATGAGAATATCAAACATTTAAAGCAACATCTAAACGCGTAATCTATAAAACTATATACAATATTTACACAAATTGTTCATTATACACAACAAAATCTCACAGACCAGACAGTAGAGTGAGGAAAAAATAATCGATCATGAAAATGTCTGCCTTAAATAACAGTCTCATGAAACGAATGTTATTTATAATATTGTTCATAAATGAGATACATATTACATTACAATAATCAGTCAAGCTGGGTATTAAGATCTCATCTTTGAGCCGTTTCCAATGAAATTTAAATTACTTTATACAAGAAATTGTTCTGTGACACAAGTCACGCTAAAAGAAAATTTTAATTTACACCACTTTTATTTGTCGAGGCAGCGTATCGACGAGTTTACCATACAACAGTGTCACACTAAAATAACCTGAGTCCAAAAAAATAATCACCTCTGACTTTGCCTTGAGTCAATGGATGTTATTTGTTCAATTCCGGACATCTAATTAACGACTTCTGAAAAAGCTTTGCGTTCATACATATATCGGGAGAACGACATACACTATCCTAGTGTCAGCTAACTAATACAGTCTCGATCTTGAGCAGTTGTCTCAACTTATCGGTGACCCTGATTAGGGACACTTTAGACGCTCGCACGTTGACTTTCTCCCCGGCACCAAGGAGCTGGTGGCATTGAGCGCGCTCTAGGAATTCTTGAGTACGAATTTCTCTCAGTAACTCCTTTGGAGATCCCGATCCACAATGGATTTGCTTTAGTAGACTTTCTTTGGATTTGATCTGAAAAAATAATGTTAAATTCTGGTAAGAATTAACAGGGCCAAATATAATTAGTATTTTAATGCTGAACAACTAATCTTTTGGTCGTATGTCAGTCATATTTGTTGTATTGAAAATACAATTGTCTATAAAATAAAGTAGTTATAATAATCACAAGACATAAGAAGTGTCATTCATTTTCGTGCCTAGACTTCCAAAACATTAAATTTTTTTTTTTTATAAATACACAAACTATGTGTCAATAGACACTGTATAATGTGATAAATAGAAAATATGTCTATGACGACTATCATTATCGTTACTAAAACCCAACAATAAAAAAGCTCAATCATATGTATTTAATAAATAAATTACCTGTAGCATATTGGTAATATCTTGGAGCAAACACCACAACCCATCTGCCGGCTGACCTGTGGCAGTTCTAAGACTATAGAAGGGTGGTAATGGTGCCTCAGTACATTGGATCTCCACCATTGAATCTGGTAGCGGAGGCGGTGATGCGGGTGGTGGGGAAGACAATGCGTCACAACCCATTTCTTCACGGTCTGAAATCAACAACATGAAAATTTGAGTACCAAATCTCAATTGATACTTTAATTATTGTTTCTGTGCGAGAATAAATATAACTCAAACTAACGAGGTGAAAAGTAATAGCAATATCCTAGGGCGTGGTTGTTGCGCTTAGTCTTACCTATAATTTCAGTAGGTGGCGGGAATCTCCAAGGTTCAATAGCATATCCTTGAACATCAGCTATATGTAATCTCAGAAGAGTCGCTGCTGAACCTTCGGCCAATTCTTCAGGAGTCTGCCCCGCGTACGTTCCGAGCAGTGGATCAGCGCCGTACGAGAGAAGTAAACGAATAACTTCTACGCAACAATTTTCACAAGCTTCGTGTAAAGGTCTAGAAAATCAATATTTGCGTTATTTATTGCAACTTAACGACTCAAATATAATAAAAAACTTTAAGCGATGATTCACTCTTTATACTGCGTATAAAAACGTTTGTGCGTAAACAGAACATAAATTTATGTACTACCTAATAAGCTTACCTAATGCCGCCCTGGGCAGCTGCAGATACGTTAGCACCGTACTGAAGGAGTAGCTTTGCAATCCTGACATGGCCTTTTGCAGCAGCCACATGCAACGGGGTGAATCCAGCATTGTCTTTCGCTGAAGGATCTGACTCCATCTTTTCCAAACAGTAAGCGACGCAGTCCTATTAAATATAGGTGATATTAACTAAATGCCTAAAAACTATAATAATAGGGGTTAAAGTATTAAATTGCCGTTGTATATTAATAGTTTCTTTGAATTGACATAAAACCTTCAGTGTGTGAGATTTTCGTGTTAAACTTTTCACATTATACCTATGAGGTTCTTCTTTAAAAAATAATTATTATTCAGTTTAGACGTGAAAGATGGATACTTCGAAAAGCCGACTCATTTTTGAGTACGAATTATGACGCGGAACTAACGCGGCAGAAACGGCTCACAATATCAACACTGCATTACCAGGAATTAGCGGAATGGTTTAACGTTACCCTACAAATGAGTCAATATTGTAAAATCTTGACTTATTTGGATCAAATTATTAAGAAAACAAAATATGAAAAATGGGTGCCTCATGATTTGACTGATCTGCAGAAAGAAATGTATGTTGAAACTTGTGTTGCCTTGTTGAATCGGTACAGAAATGAAGGAAGGGATCGAATTGTGACATGTGACGAAAAGTAGATTTTTTACGATAACCGTCCGCGAAAAATACAATGGCTGACCCCGGGTCAAACGCTACAGTGCCCTAAAGCAAAGCTTACTATTAAAAAGGTAACGGTAACTGTTTGGTGGTCTCTTCATGGTGTTATTCACTATAGCTTTCTCAGGTCTGGTCGGGCAATAACAGCAGATGTTTATTGTGCCGAACTTTGAACAATGATGGTGAAACTGGCAGTAAAACAGCCCCGACTCGTGAATCGATCTTCACCATCATTGCTCCATAATAACGAAAGACCTCACACTGCACGAGAAACTGTTGTAACTCTACAGGAGCTGTAGTTAGAAACCATACGTCATCCTCCGTACTCGCCAGACCATGCTCCAGCGGACTACCATAAATTGCACAATTTTGTACGAGATAAAAAAAAACTTCCCAGGAGCCAGTATAAAATGCTTTCATACTGTTTGTCGAATCCTGATCTATATCTAGATAGATTTTTTAGTACAAATCGGCAATTTCATACTTAACTCCTAATATTATGATTGGAGATAAGTGCAGTACTATACTTACCGTATATCCGAGTCTTGCAGCGCGATGAAGATGCGTTTCTCCAATGCTTTTGTTTATAAACCACCCTTTAATTTCTTTATGAATATCATGTACTGATTCTGGACTTGGTTTAGCCGCAGGCCTCCGTATTTTGGGACTACTTTCATCTCTACGAATTATTTTCTTTTTCTTCCGAATATAATCAAATCCCGAACTAAACTTTCTTCGTCCAAAGAGACGCTTTAAGCGTCTTTTTGTGTTTCCTTCCGTTGACCCCAATGAACTTCCTTCCAATTTTGGCTTATCTTTTTCCTCAGTGGTTGAATTCTCATTTTTGTGTTTATTCGCTGACATTTCTTTCATTCTCTTACTATTTAGAGATTTTACTAAACTGTTTCTTTTCTTTAAACGAAGTAGTCGACCTTTAGCATCATTTCTTTTCAATGATTTCGTACTTCTAAGTCCGTCCCTAATTGAGCTAGATCTTCTTTTAAGCTTATCTTTTAATATCTTTTTAGGTTTAAATTTTGGCTTAGCGGTTTCAGCAGTCTCCTTTACTTCGACAACTTTTTCTCCCTTTTCCTCTGGAACATCTTCGTCCCGGTAAGATGTTGGTGGCGCTGAGGCCGGCCGTTCATCACCAAAAACCTCTTTAATTGTAGCTCGCTGTTTTAGTATTCTACTCTCAGTTCTAGTTCTTGTTTTAAGAACCACTGTTGCAAATTCTTCAGTTGCACCAATGAGACCATCTGTGTCTTTGATAAATGAGTTTCGGAACGCAGTGACAGTCTCTTTTCTAAAAGCACCTAAGTAAAAAATATCTTCCATCAATTTTTCTTTTTTAACATTAAAAGTACCTTTGTTCCCATTCTTCACCAATCCTAGACTAGGCGTAGGTAGCAATTCACTAGTTGACTTTTTAGATATTACTTTCGGTGTTCTCTCTTCCTTTTCTTTTGCTTTTTTTTCTTTCTTTGTTTCTTCCTTTTGACCATATTTCTGGAGCAACACGTCAAGTATAGAATTTCCCTTCTTTTTTATTTTTGAAGAAAGTACTGTAGATGTTGAGGCTTCGGAATCATAATGTAACTTCTTAGGTCCAGAATAACTTGAATTTGAATCTAAATCACTATCCAGATTTAGTTTATCTTGACGTCTAGCATACAAGTCATCTGTGGCAGCTGACTGTGCTGAAGATGGCGCCGGAGATAGAGGTGCTGGGTCCAGATCAGGTAAAGAAGTAGAGCCCCGTGTGAATAAGGCCCCCGAACCCCGTACAAACGGACCACCCGAACGTCCTCTCGGTATTGCTATAAGTCTAGTAGGCATTCGAAGAGAACGTTTATATTTGTAAAGCTCTTCTTCCCAGCCTGGATGAAAGTATGAACCATCGCCAAAAGTGGGTTTTCGTACAGGAGTCGAACTATTACTGGCACTGCTACTGTCTTGCTTTTTTACTGGAGATGATTTAACTGGCGTTTTCATATTAGGAGCAGATTTGTTTTCTTCTGCTTTTATGCTCTTACGTACTCGTAGTCGACTTGCAACAGTTACATCATCATCGCTGTCGGAACTTGTGTTACCGCCTTGCTTTTCATTTTTACGATCGAATGATGGTTTAACTTTAGCACGAGAAGCTTGTCTAGTTGATTTGCCCTTAAGTTGTTTTTCTTCCTTGTCTTTTAATGTTGAGTCTAATGATTTTCTAGTATTTTTATTAACATCTACGTCACAACATTCAAGCTTAACATAAGCAGATTTTTCAGATAGATCTTTTAATAATTGATACTTAAGACGTTCGCTTTGTTCTTTTTCCTTAAGGATTTTACTCTTTATAAGAGGCTCGTCGTCATCTGTCGATTCGCATTCTTCCTTTATTACTGTTTTAATAACAGATTTGCCTTTTATGTCGTTTTTAGACATCTGTGACAAAGTTTCATTTTTCTCGATTTTTACTTTTGCTCTCAATTTAGCTTTAGTTGGTCTCTCATTTCCTTTTTCTTTCTTATTATCAGATTGAATTTGATTAAGGTTATTTGTTTCTGTTTCTAAAACACCCTCTGCATTATCTGAAACAGAGTCCCCAAGTGGCCCAGACCAATTCTCAATTGCATTCATTTCTGTGTCATCTAGGGGCTCCTGTTTTATTACAACAGCTGATATGATTTCAGATGTCGGTTGCTCGACTTGTTGTGTAGTAAAAGGAGTATTTACTTCAGAATTAGATCCAGAGTCCTGCCCAATGCTAACTGCTATATTCATTTCTGCATTGGAGTCATTATTTTGTTCAGAATTGATTTCGGCATGAAGAGGGATCGAGTCAATGCTTGCCGACTTTGAAATAATTTGGCTCATACTGTCATTCTCTGTCGTTTCAACGCGTTTCCTGTGGGTTTTCTTTTTGTGGCATCCATTTTTAAGTTGTTCCATAAAACTATCACAAGCGTTAGCCCAATCTAAATCGCCAAAAATATCATCATTCGCGGTATCCATATTTTCTGGTTCTATATTTTCCAAAATATTTTCAGTTTTAATTGATATTTCAGCATCTTTTTCTATTTCTTCAATATTCATTGGCTCCGTTTTTACTTCTGGAATAACGGGTTCTGACTGTGTTTCATTCTTTATTACTGACTCTAACCTAAGATTATCTTCTCTTATTTGATTAAACAAATGGGTCTTTCTGGGAAGCATTTTTAATTTTTCTTTCTCCTGTGGTATTATTAATTTTGGCTCTGGCTTAGTAATATTTTCTTGTGTAGGTGGCATTACTTTAAGCTCAGCTTTAGTTCTTATTCTGGATGCAACATCATTTTCAGGAGATCTTCGCTTTGGATCAGGACTGTTAGTAAAATCAGAATCTCGTGAAAAAGAATCCACTGCCTTAGGCATTTGAATGTACTGATTTAAGTTTGGAGTTATATTCAAATGTGGTTTTACAACACTTTTAGGTGGCATTTCAATTTCGTTTTCTTTTGTAAGATCATTGATTTCTATGACAGAATCTTCAGCATCGTCAATAATAATTAGATCTGGTGATCTACTCTGCTTACTGGATCTAGGAGGCTCTGCGAAGCTAATTTGTTTGGTTTCTAGACTACTTCTTAGTATGCTTCTCACACATACTTTTTTATCAGCAGGTATACTTCGTGAAGGATCATAATGATGAGAATGTATATGGCTCGGAATTTTTTGTATGACATGATTACGACTAGTAGGAGGTGGATTTCTGTCTTGATAGTAGTTATGATAATCATTAGACTCACGCGCAATTAACTCGGGATGATACGGATTAGGGTATCTATGACTTGGATGAGCGTGGTGATCACGATAAACACCTGACATGGAAGGTCGCTTTTGATCATTTTGATAAACTGCTTCAAACTGTTTATAGCTGTAAACAGGTTGTTTCATCAATTCTCGCTGTTCGCGGGCTGAGTCTATTCGACTGTCTGCGGGCCAAGGCTCAGGACGTAGAATTTTTTCCGGAATGTTACTAACAATAGGACCGGCTGGACGTTTCCTCTCCTCTATTATGAAATGCCGATCATCCCGAACTCTGTTTTCGGGATGGCGTTGATCATTGACAGGTCTTGTGAGATCTATTTTGTGAATGTAATCTGTTCTAGTTGGAGTAGTATATTTATTACGTTCTTGATAAGCATTAGGAGAATCAACTGGATATCCTTCTGGTGCTGTTCGACGCCCCTCATACGTACCGTTATACCTAACAGACAAATTTCCAGATTGTGCCGGTGCCACAAATCCATGGGAGCCCCTCTCACCGTACTGGACAAAATTAGGTGCAAAGTCTACTTTGTGTGACGTGACGGAACTGTTTGTGGGTAAATGTACATGACGACTACTATAAGAAACAGCTCGAGGAGGTAATGTCATCATTTTATTTTCTGCTGTTGCAGAGTCAACTATATCATCTTGAGTTGTTGATGAATCGGCAGAATTTTTAACTGTTTTTACAGATAAATCTAGAGGTGATTCTCGTTTCTTATTGGTTTGATTCACTTGTGATGACCCACCCGTCGACTCATGTTTTTGTTTGGTCTGGTTCATTTCATTCACTATCGAGGTTACAGACACTGTGATACGGTTTTGGTTGGGGTAGCCTGGCTTTAACGTCGATCGCACAGGTGATAATTGATGTTGCGTTGTTGGGGAATAATCAAAATTGTTTTTAGGTGTTGCTACCGTACGATAAGCGGATCTAGACTGCGTTGAATTTTGAATAGGAACAGGTGCATATCTAGACGTTGACGCCGAAGGAGTAGGATAATGGTAACTGCTTCTAGCATCGACAGTTCTACTCATATTAGGATAATCAGAGCGTGGCGGTAAGCTATTTGCATCATGTGGGTGCGGAGGGATTGGTGCTGGTGCACGCTCTTGTGATCGAGGTGGATAATGAGCGCTCACAACATCCATAGCCGTATGTTTATATTGCACTGGATGATGTGTATCAACGCGGTGACTTTGAACAGGTTGCGCGGTCGGCGAAGGCCGATAGCTCGGATATGACTGTTGGGGGTCATATTTTCGTTGAGGCACCGCAGGGTGTCTATCATAATGGGACGGTGTACGGTTATGATACGCTGAAGCGTCACGGCGAGGTTGTAAAGTCGTATACATATGTGCCGCCCGACTATCTGATGGATGCCGCTGAGATTGCGACACTGTTTGTGGGTGATGTATGGGCGGCACGCGATCATTCGGTGGAGGTGGCGGATGAGTAGGTTGCATAGAGTACCGCTGTGTAGAAGGTCTTTGTGCGGCAACTTCTCGTAATCTCGACGTAGAGTGTTGCATTGACCCTGATAATCTGGCATATGTCTGCGCAGCTGGACTGTGACGCGAGTGATTCGATGGCTGTGGTGATGCTACTGATCCAAGGGTATTCCTGTTTCCTTCGGACATATTTGGGTCATAATGATAACGTACGTAAGATTCTGGGGGACGTGATGTAGGGTATGGATCTGGTGGCCGACCCGGAGCGTAATGATCGGGCTGTCTAGACGTAGGTGTTTGCACACGATGTACTGTGGGTCTGTATTGAACTGGAGCCTCTAATTGAGGTTCTGGAGCCGCTGGAGGCGGCAGTGGTGCACCTGATGGAGGTCGAGCCGGCGATGGGCAAGGAGCGGCAGGTGCAGGCGATGGTGATGGAAGTGCCCTCTGTGGCTTATGTATAATATGTGAAGGAGGCGAGAGAGTGCCAACTGCTTCTTCGTCATCTTCAGTATCAGGCTGTTCACGCCGTTTCTCAGCCGCCTCCCGCATTACAGTTGCCTTATGTATGATATGTGGCTCTGGTTCTATTGGTTCTGAAGGCGGTCGCGGTAATACGATTGCCGACGAAGTAGGGACGGATGGGGGTGCTGCTGCAGCAGAAGGTGGACGTGAGGAAGGAGCAGGTGCACCGGATTGCGCTGGTGCCCCTTCTTCAGGAGGAGGAACACTTGCAGGCCATAATGGTTGTCCGGAACCTTCTCCTTGTGCCTGCTTCGGCAACCCCATGAAGTACTGGCGCGTTCCCTCCAGCAATACATTGTTGATGTCCATACTCCGTCTCCTACTTGGGCCACCTGCAACAAAGTCGTTAATTTATGTGAATGACTCGTATCACCGAAAGATGTGCAAGGTTTTTATTCGAATAAAAATTTTAAAGATGATATGAAAGAATGGACTCAACAAATTTGTAAAAAATTGTATTATTTTCTAATTATTTTTTAATTATTGGCGTAGTGGTTTAAGCGGTCGCCACGCCGCTTACTACTACGCCGAGTGTTGTAGGTCCAATCCCCACATAGGACGACACTTTGTGTGATCTATAAATTGTTTTTCTGAGTCTGGGTGTTCTTTGTGTTCGTTTCATGTATGTTTGCAAAGTCCCAGGATATATTCCTAATGCCTAATTGTCTTTTTAAAAAGAAAAAAACAATTTTTAGTGCTCTTTGTCAGTGCTGTTTGAAGTAGGTTCAACTTTTTTTAAAGGATTTATTTTACCATTTTATATGTAAGATATGCTTGTAATGAGTAGATAATTACGATATTTAAATCACTACGTACCGTGATACGATATAACCAAACTGTAGTATGTTAGATTATATTAAATATAGTCTTATAAGTCCGTTACTTTATTTAGTTAAGGTAGTAAGATACATTTGAACCCGAAAATATATTGTTTTCCACATTACTTTTTTTTTCAAAACTAGGAGTGGTATTTGGAACTAAAGGGGAAATATACCCGTCCAAATATGAAAAAGAATTTTCATAATCGGTTTACAAATGAAATAGTTTTGAGGTAACAAACATGAAAATAATTGCGTAACAAACATTTTTCTTTGTCTAACTATTTCGTAATCTCATATATTACTCTTTTGTGCACACATCTCTGTAACCCCACACAAACACCTGACAAATATCTTGAAAGAAAAAAAAAAGGTCAATACATGATTAGATTTTTGAAAGAGTTATTCTCTACACGTTTTCGGGCCGTAAAATTTGAGGGTTTCCCTCGATTTCTCTAGGATCCCATCATCAGATCCTGATTTGGTGGTAATAGGATAACCTCGTCAGCATACCCTTTCGATTACAAAAATAATTTTGAAAATCGGTGGACAATTGACGGAGATATCGTAAACATACAAAAAAAAAACAGACGAATAGATAACCTCCTCTTTTGTGTTTGAAGTCTTTTAATAAGGAGTAGTAGTTATTGATCGTGTATAATTGAACTTAAATACTCAGTAAGTTAAATAATAGAAAGAGAAGCATCACGACTTTTAACAGTCTTAAGGTCTTAACCAGTATAGGCTTAGCTGGACCTGAGCGTGTAACTTTACAATATAGGCGAGAACGTCAAGCGTGCGTGCACGTGTAGTATATTTCTATAATATGCATTGCACTTGGCAGCAATGCAGCCTAAAACGCATACCTTTATGCGTAATAAACAAATGATAAATATTTTTTTTGCACTTTTCAATCACTACGATTGAAAAGTGCAAAAAATATTATCAGACGTTTTTTTTTTTCGAATATTCCGAAAATTATGTTAATCATTGCTGTCAAAAACTACTCTTGAAAGTAAATTTGGATTGACGGTTTGGAATTTGGAGTGTTGGTACGGAACCTCTCTTGACTCTTGTTCATGTTTTAAGCTCAACTTATACAATGATTTAATAGATCCTAATGTGGCTGTGCATATACTGTCTCTAAACAACACTTATTACTGAAGGCGCAAATGACACCAACGGAACACAATATAGTGCCAGCCCCAACATTCTAAAACGCGCATGGGAAATCACGCTTTTAATTCGATTGTTTTCTTAATATGAAAATATTATCTTGAACGCCTTTCTGATGTCGATATTAACCGCACAAGGATATTAACCGCGCAGTCGAAGGTGCGATGTTGGGTCGTTACCCGGCGCCTGCCCTTGAGCGTACTTCGCCCCCGCACGCACACATGCATAGGATTAATATGTTCACGATAAAACACACACAGTTACAACTTCCGCATATATTTTGCTTATACTCGTAAGTTAACTGACCTTCATACGCTTGAATGTCAAAAACCTCGTATTCATTACCGATTCTCTTTAGAGGCCACTGTTCTACGGATACAAGTTGCTATGTTTGTTGTCTACATATATATGTACATATGTTATCATCTTGCTAAAGTTTGTTTACTACTTTTATTGAATTCATTCAGGCTAATTTACTGATATGAATAAAATTTTCAATAACACTTCCCAACTACTTAAATATTCGTTTTTTAGGGTAACGTACCCAAAGGGTAAAAAGGGACCCTATTACTAAGACGCCGCTGTCCTGACCGTCTGTCTGTCCGTCTGTCACTAGGTTGTATCTCATGAACCGTGACAGTTCGACGGTCGAAATTTTTACAGATTATGTATTTCTGTTGCCGCGATAACAACAAATACAAAAACCAGAATAAAATAAATATTTAAGTGGGGCTCCTATACAACAGACATGATGTTTTTGCCGTTTGCGGCAACCTACCCTTGACGGCCCTTGACTCGCACTTGGCCGGTTTTTTAAAGCATTCATCTCTTAAATGCGCTATCTACCCCGTTGAATTTTTTGAGTTTTGAGAATTCTCGTAGGATAGGACATATTTGTAGAAATTTAAAAGAGCTCTTCCAAACTTCTAAAGGTTACATTTCGGTCAGTGTTACCTTCTAGTTCTACTTAACAGTGATATTGCTTACTTCGTTCATAGATTGTATCTAATGGGTTTTTGAAAATGTCAAGATTTCAAATACTCTAAAAAGGTTATACACACTTTGATGTTACGATATGTCTTAAGAATTTTAAGTTTGTAATTCTATCAATATTGAATGGCTTCCAAAATTCCATAAAGTACTGTTTATTTATTTTCATATGGTAGTACAAAATGTCTATAAAACAAATTTTTAATAAAAATAAATATCGAGCTAATGGAATTGTAATATAATATTATTTTATGTTAAGTTCATTTACATGCTGTATACAAATATAAAATTAGGTCTGTCATCTTTTAACCTTCACGGCCTCAATAAACCGGTTGTCTCATTACTCAACGTGTTAACTGGTATTGGGACATGATTTCAAAATACAATCAGTTCTTACCTAGTATAAACTATCGTGTAAAAGAAAAGAAAAACTACTGAATAGTGACTGTAAATAACTATGGTTTGCACAATGTAAAAACAGTGTTCTATACTATTTAGTAAACACTAGTTAACTAAATAGTATGGAACACTATTTATATTACTATTTTTTGAAAATAAGCGAGTTAGCGTTTCTTTAAACACTCTTAATACCAATGATTTTGGTTAAATGTGATTAAGAGTTATCAATTTATAACATACCCATGTTATAAATTGATAACTCTTAATCACATTTATTAACTTGCTATTTTTTAACCGACTTCAAAAAGGAAGAGGTAGTCAATTTGTGTTTTTTTTATGTACTTCCGTCATATATATGACGTATTTTTTAAATTCTTTTTTTTGTTCGAAAGGGGTTTATCTGAAATGGTCCCATTTTAATTTCATATACATCTGATAATGAGTTTTGAAGACAGACAACGGAATCTTCAAAAAATGACAGCAAATAAACCGCGATTGCTGCTGGGTTTTCAGTATTCTTTGTTAGTATTGTTTGAAGTTGGTTCAACTATTTTTAAAACGGATTCATCTTCTCAGAAAACCCCTATAAAATTTTGCACGATCTGAGAATTGAACCCGAGGCCTCACGTATCGTACTACACCACTAAGGCAGCGCAGGGCCGCCGCTAGTTGTTCGAGCGCTCGCGTACAATACTGATGAAGCCGCCCGTTTTTCCGTTTGGAAATCGCCCTTCGGACATCCCCCACCGGACAACCAGGTGGTTATGAATTTCATTTCCGATCTATTCATAGTTATTTTTATCCTTATTTCAATGAGTTTAAAAATCATATTACTTAATTTCCACACAATTCTACCGCGGCTTGTTGTGGAATGTCGCAGCATGTCGTGTCATGCGGTCTTGATTTATTGATTACAGATTTATGCCACCATACATAGGTCGCAGGAGTATAGCCCCCCCTCCCTTGGAGTCAAAGTCGGGAGACAGCCAATCAGTTTCGTCTACACACGGATACAAAGTTGGTTGCGTCCTTCTGAGATTTAGTATTTTTAGCAGTTCTTGCTGAAGATGAAGAAAGACAAACACAAACTAGTATATTGAAGCAAACACAATTCTGGGTACATCATTTGTGGAGAACACGAGAGACACTGCCCACGCGCCCAGCCCAGGCTGCACCCCATTTGTCGACAACACCGCCACATCCGGCTTAAACCTTATTTTATTTAGTTTGGCTGTCATATACCGAGAAGGGGGCTCGGTGTAGTTGTATCGAAAAGGTAAAAGTAAAATAATATAAATTCTAAACATATGGAAATACAGATAAAAAAAACTTGATCAGAAATAAAATGTTTTACTAATAAAGTAATTCTAATATAAACATTTGCATAACAACATTTTATTTTTATACACTGATCAATAGATGTTACTATGATGATATAGAAATACATTGGCTATGCAAATTATGAAAAAGTTTCGTTTTCGTTTCGATTTCTGTTTTTGCCGCCCCCTTGAAAGTTCCACCGGTGTGCGGTGCACGCTCTCTGTACACCTGTACCCGGCGGCAATGAGGCAGCACTTTTCAAACTCCACGCGAACGAAGTCGCGGGTACCAGCTAGTTGGATATAAAATTAGTGTCAAGCTGGATACTTTAAGAGTGGTCGCATGCTCTTTGTGCTATTTCTAAAGTCCTAAATTCTGTTTTAGTGTAGCTTGATTAGAAGCAATTAGTAGGTACACAAAGCAGTCTTGTGACTTATCTATTTTATGATTCTCCCAATTTTAATTGTTCTTCTATTCTTATTTCCGGAAAAAATGGTAATCTGTTGGAGCAAGGTCTGGGGAGTATGGTTGATGTCGCAGACATTCCAATTGTAGCTCATCTAACTTAGTGGTTGTTTGTTGTGTAGTGTGTGGTCTTGCGTTTTCGTGAAGCAGCAGTGGCCTAGAGCGATTGACCAATCTCGGTTGTTTAGCAGCTAGTTCCTTCTTCATGGTTTGCAGTTGCTGACAATAGATATCTGCCGCAATAGTTTGGCCAGATTTTAGAAAGCTGTAGTTTACGACACCGGCGCTAGTCCACCAAACACTCACAAGTAACTTTTTCTGAGTCAATTTTCGTTTAGGGCAGGATTTGGGTGGGTCTGCAGGGTTCAGCCATTGCGACGAGCGCTTCCGATTATCGTACAGTATCCACTTTTCATCACAAGTAATGATTCGATTTAAAATCCCTTCATTATTGTGTCGGTTGAGCAAAAAGTAACACAGCAGTCGACGCGTGTTTGCAAGTTCGATTCACTCAATTCGTGAGGTACCCATCGTTCAAGTTTTTTTTACTTTCCCGATTAGCTTCAAGTGGATTAATACAGTTTTATAACTTACCCCGAAGCCTGCAGCTATCTCTGAAGTGCTTTGTGATGGATCCGTTTCCACAATAGCCTTTAATTCTTCATTTTCCACTGTGGTCTCCGGCCGTTCACGGGGTTGGTTCTGAAGGTCGAAATTTCCAGAACGAAAACTTTGAAACCAAAAACGTACCGTGCTTTCTTTTGCGACACCAGCGCCGTATACATCATTAATCCTTCGAGCTGTTTCTGCAGCACTGGTGCCACGGTAGAACTCGTACTCGTAAATATACCGATATTTCATGTTTTCCATTGTGTAGTAAGCGACGCCAAAGAAAAAAAAATGAGGAAAAAACAAATTAACGACTGTTTTCAAAGCTCACATGTAACAGCTAAATGAATTTATTATAATAAATATAATTGAATTTGGAATTCTAAACCAAAGAGGAGACATTTTAGATCAAAGTGGTCAGTACGACAAAACGCTAATTTCATATGTAAAGACCTAATATAATATCGTGACGAATAACTTCACTTTTGAATTTAGGATTTTATGTTTACAAAATTTTATTATTTATTTAATTGCATTGAAAAAAATATTGCAAGAAAAGAAAAATCGCTGTCTATAGCAAACGGATTTTTTGAACAACTACCTACTAGCTGACGACCGATTGCGTAACTTAGACCGCAAATAGCAAAGAAAGAAGTGCTCCTTTTTTAAAACTGATAATGGGACTTAGTTGCCATACGAATCAAAAAGAAAAACAGATTTTTCGTCTTCTACAATATTTTCGTAAATATTGCAGATAATGATAAGATAAAGTGTAGAAAGGTGGTAGCATTATCGTAAGCAAGAATGATAACTATTTATTACAACATTTATTTTAATTATTATATTATTAGTAAGTCTGTGTTATTAAAACATTTGTTGTCTGTCTTTTACACAATGTACATTCTATTTATCTATTATCGATAAAAATTTACGTTGACAGTTCACAAATAATAAACAAACTTTTGTAATCAGACATAACAGACAACATCACTGTGATAATAACGTATTCGAAAACATGTTTTTAAATAACACAGTCATAAAATGTATTACAAAAGGGATCGTGTTGTCGAGCTGGATTTCATTTCCAAACACGCCCTCTATCGATTGTGTCTCAAGAAGCCCTTAACAACAACTGACGGATAGGATGCGTTGAGCGCCTAAACCCCGAGCACACGGGACTCGTTTCTAATATCCATACATCTCTAGCACACGTGTATATAAGTTTCAAGGAAAATATAATCATTATATATCATAAGTACTGAGCAGTTACGGCGTGTTGTATTGAATTTCACAGACCTTACGTTTCGGGTTATTACCTCTTATACGTACAAAGATGTTGTAAAGAGGCCCTTGTATAAATTATCATAATTTATATTAACAGGAATTGTTTACGTTAACTGTTTCTTAGATTATTAAAAACGTTGCTTGTTACTTTCTACCACGCGCCATAAAAACAACAGTCCTAAAATTATCTAATTTTTATAGAATTTTCCACAGATTGATTACTTTCATAATAATTTTCATTGAATACTAGATTCATTATCAGGATGTTTTGTTGTATATATAATATATATACAACAAAAAATCCTGATATTAAGAAGATTTGGAATCTTCTTATACATTGTTCTACTGAAATTTATAGGAACTCTTTTAGTAAGTTTTGTCACTAATTTTCATTATTTATCAGATAAAACGTAACTCGCGAATGACTTCTTAAAACAATAATTCAATATAGACAGAATTTTGTATTTTCTGACAAATTCATAGAAAGCAAAGACAACATAAGAGTATAATTATTTAGTTTATTGACCAAGATGACCATATTAACCAAGTGATGAATAAATTTCTTAATTATTTAAAAAAAGAAAATATTGACCCTTATAAGATGAAATTACTTATAAATTATTAAACCATTAATGCTATTTAAAGAACTAATTTTAAATTTCTAATTTATTTTTGTACACATTGATTCTCAAATTATTCACGTCTGTCACTGCGAGAGGAGGTTCGTAGAGGTTAACATGCCTAACGTGTACTTTGACCCCGAGGCCTCCGACAGTGACAAAAAGGGCTCAGCAAGAATCCACTTAGTCGCCAGACATGATCCAGACAAAGCGTAGGCGACCTTATAATTACTTTGTGAGTCCCATTTGTGTTAATAATACCTCAGCGCTTGAACAACTAGCGATTGAATATTGCAGACAAAATTAATGTTATCATCATCATCAACAGTCTTTAATAGTTCACTGCTGGACATAGGCCTCTTCTCAGAAAGAAGGTCTCGGCCTACTATAACACGCTGGCCAGACGGGTTGTTATAGGGTTTGTTTCAGGCTTTCCTTCTCTGGTTAAGTTCTCTTTCAGTCCGCTCCCATACTTGGTTGTTATGATAACCAGGGGATAAATAGGGTTGGTGACACTCTTTATTCTGTCACCACACGGGTGAATTAATGCATCTGTTTGAATTATATTTTTATCGTAGGAGATCCAGGTTTCTGCAACAATGTGCCGGCTTGACCGGTATAAAACGGGGTGATTATTCACCGATTGATAATCACCGGAGCCCACCCCGGCCCCCACTCCTCCTGATTCAGAAAAGGGGGTTGGGGGGGTTTACTCAAAGACAATGCACTTGTGACTCTTGATTTGAAGGTGTCGATGGACGGCGCTAGTTATTTGCTATAAAATAATATGCAAGCGAAAAGATTTTCACTCATGTACTGTTAAATTACAAGATCTAGAAACTATGACTTGACCTTTAAAGATGTAAATTGGGGGATCGGGAATCACAGGGAACTGGTTATGAAGCAGGATTTACTCCTAACTAATGTTATAAATGAGAATGTTAGTTTGTTTGTTCAAATAGGTATTTGTTTTCGATTTGCATAACGTTATCCAGAAAAAATAAAGTTCCATAGGGGTTGGTTGATTAACATCTACTTTAAAGCAAAGCAGTTGGAAAGAGCTAGTTAATAGTATTAAGAGGTCAAAGTCACCTGAAGGTACGTCTGTATGATATGGGGCCAACGACACGCCACATGTTACTCGCATAAATAGTTATTTTGTTGTAGGCGGATGAAATAATCTGAGATAACACAAATACGATTTTTTTTTGCAAGTTCATTTTAATTGGTCTTGCATAAATACTTTCTGTATCAGTAATAGACAATTTTATCTGTTTTATCAGTCTGGTTTTGTCGGTAGAAGTTTTGTTGGTGGAGAGCAGAACTACTTTTACTTCCTTTTAGTATATAGTGTGTCTAAATTTAAAATGCCTTTTGAAGTTTAGATGTGATAACGTAAGAGAAAGAGCCAGAACGAAAGAGTTATAGCATTTCATATCATCAAGTCCACTGTTGGACATACTATGGATATACTATACATACTGTTACTATGTCCGTGTAAAATGGTTCTCATACAAACGTTAATAGTGGATGAACGTTTGTTGTCCCGTCTTGCCTGTATACAAAAATTGGTTCAGCAGAGTAAGCGAAACAATGAACAAGCATACCTAGAGATAGTTACAACTTTCACATTTACATATACTATACTAGTATATTAGTTAGTATCTCCATGTCCTTTGGTAGGTCCTTATTCATATAACGTTTGTTTTATATTTTTATATTTTATATTTTTTCATTCTCTGTTTCAGTGAACGACTAGCGGAAGGATGAATTCCCATCTGAGGACCTCATGACCTCACCTAACAGGCATAGTTAATGATGCAGCAAGTGGAATAAGATTTCCCTTCAACAAAAAAAGCGTGGGCAAAGACAACGTCGGTAGGTGACCAGCACGCTAAAATAACAATACAACTTTGCCTCTAATTCCCTCAAAAGAGCACGTCAGTCGAATGTAAGAGACTGGTGATATGAACTTCGAGAACAGAACGCACTCGTTACTCAAAGACCAACAACGCGCTTGTGACACCTGAGTTGCAGGCGTTCATTGGCAGCGGTAGTCACTTTCCCGTAGGTAGGTAGACCCGTCTGCTCGTTAGTTAGTCTTCCATTTAAAAAATCTCAGCTAGCTAAATGCTCATGCCTGGTGAATTTTATTTTTTTCTTTTTATTCGGGAAAACAAAAATGTACACAATTTTCTTGGTCTTAAAGTTAAAGTAGGTATTTATAATTGCATAGCAATTGTATTAAGTATTTATAGTTGCGGCTTTATGGCATGCGTTAACGTCGTGCGTAACGTTGATATGTTTTATGAATATTGGCGTGTATCTTTTTATAGCACAACTAGCAATGAGATCAAAATGAAACCGTTTGAATAGGTACGAAGTAGTCAACTTGCTTTTCGCTAGAGGGCGCTTAGATAATTCACAGTATGAGAAATATAATACAACGTAATAAATATTGGAAGGCTTCATTTTTAAAACCTTAGAGAGTTACATTTACTTATTTTGAATTTATTTTAACCTGTTAAACAAGATTAATTAAATAATTGTCTACTGTGATATACAGAAAGGCGACCATCAGCTGTAGCATTTCTGGCAGTCTAAAATTAGATATTTAAGTGTAAATCGAGTAAAATTTATTTAATGTTTAAACGAAGTGAACGCTATGCTCATCAAGGCGTTGCTAGGTGCAATTACGCGTGGGGCACTTGTATAGATTCCGTTACGCGAGTGTGAATGCCCAAGAAAATATACATAGTAACCAGAATATACCGCCATATTCACATAACGGAGTTTCCATCCTTAGAATTTAATTATCTCCATAGATGTGAACTTCAGTAGATAGAAACTAATGCGAGTAACTTGATAGTGCTGTCTGATCTGTTTTAGTTTCGTAAATGTAATAATGACAGAGCGATTGTATTCCAAAAGGTATTGCTCTTTACTCGAGAGTAAAGAGCAATACTCGAGAGTAAAGAGCAATACCTTTTGGAATACAATCGCGAAATGACGAAATGACGAGTATTTCATTTCAATAAATCATAATCATACTTTTATCTGATGTGATATGATTGTAAGCTATCTATTCAGAAAATAATTTTCAGAGACGGAAGAGGTTTTAGTATTATAATTATTGTTCCCATCCTTGACACTCCATATTCCAAAACAAAGTTTTGGTATATTTGCTTAAAAATAAAATACAATAAAATCCCTCATCTAGCCAGTCTGTTTCTATTAATTTTGGATTATTTATTTAAACAATTGAGTTGAGTGATCTTGTCTGAGGGGCTAACACAATGGCCTACGAGTAATAGTAATCATATGTTTGGTAATGTGGTTATTTCAAGGTTCTGATAAATTAAATGTGTGTAGGAATTCTGTTTATTTTAAATACAAAGTAAATATAATTTCAAACTTACGTTTGACAATCTACCCTGCTTGATGTGAATGACAACCCCTATGCGTGTTCATGTCTCTGGCTTCAGTCGCAAGAAGACCTGAAATCAAAGATTAATACCAATTTTATGGCGGACGTATGAATCCTTAAAAATATTTATTCTAAAGAACTCATAAAAGTTCTCAGCGGAGTTTGCAATACAAGATGTAATAATATGTCATATTATTCATAAAACGTTCGTTTAGCGCGAAAATAGCCTAACGCACAATTCTTGGAAGCCGAACGTTTAAGAGTCTGTAACTGTATCGACTACATTGAAATAATTTACTGTGTATCAAACTCAACATCAAATAGTTAGAACTGCATAATTCTGTTTACATATATACATGTTTACATGTGTATAATAGCAGGCTGCCTGTTAGAAACCTCCTCGCAAGAAAGCTAGACGCACCACTAAAATAAGTCACACTAGTACCCATTTTAATGAAAAAACCTCTTTTGGCAAATGATCTCCGGAACATTCTTCCGCGTCCTCAATTTAGGAATAGTAAGGTCTACATATTAATAACCGAGTATGATTAAAAATTACTAGCTCTAACCAACAGACAGTTTCCACGTTATATACTTTATGGTCCGTATCACGATGTTATTATCCTATAGACATGAATCCGTATTGAATTGAATTGATTAGCTTCGCAAAAAGTTTTAGAAAATGGTCGTTGATTTTATAAATTTCAACCACTATGATTATACAGAAAATATTAGGAGATTAAGGTGTATTATAGACGAGTACAGTCATCTAATAAGCTGACGAATCGTAAAACTTTGTAGCCTTGAAAATGGTATCCGACTGTACCAATGCTTACAAAACCTATAAAAATAAACTTACAATAAAAAGAGTGGATGTAACGACACGTTTTATTCCCAGAATCGCTAGACCTGCTCTGGGCTTGAGTAACGTTTAGTAGATTATATGCCTATGAAGTAGACAATATAAATCTTTTTTTCTTCAAATCTAAAACAGAACCCACTTAATCACAAAATTAAATCTATGTAGATGTCAATGAACTCGCATCAGCAGTTTAAATATTGGTTTTCGACTTTGTTAACGTGCAAAATTTCATTTTATTTAGCAGCTCTTCTCCGCCTTAATTCGTCTGCATATTTTATGATACATATGTATAATATTCAATACCCTGAGTTAGTAAATATCAAGCAAACGGTATAACAATACAAGACAAATACCTATTACAATATACTATATTTTTAAAGCACAATTTTGTCTTATAAATTTAGAAAACTAAAAACGTCTACAGCTAAACATAATATGCCACTTGAATTGAGTTGACTTGAATTGAATTTAGATATTAGAATGCAAATAAGAATGTCATTTTTATCATTATTTTTTTTATTAGCAACCATAGATCAGATCGTGAAATATATTTAGAAACGAAGACACTTCTCTTCAGACTTTGGGTTACCTTTCGACTAATTCCATGAAGCGCATAATATTTATTATTTAGGAGGATCAGACACCTGTTTCAATCTTCGGGGGGAAAGACACATACATATACACGTGTGTATGTATCTATATAAAATTTCACGTATGATTAATGTATATAACGTTTAGTTTCCATATTCAAATAACCATAAAAAAAGGTTAATAATTTTGCATTAGATTAAATATACAGCGCTTGTTTTTGTAATTGCATCATGGATCAACAGGAGTTTGTATGTAGGATTGCCATTAGTCCAGTAACGTACTGTACGTTTGACGTCAGTGTTATAGAACTGTCCTTTTCCAAATCACCAATTTCAACATTTCTTTTCTACCTGCTCTACTAATCTTATTATTACGATGCTATCATAGTTTAATAACTACCTAGTAACAGGCACTGTAGTACCTTTGTAATAATATCATGAACACAGGTGCTTAGTCATTCATGGTTGTGCTTGTGTAAATATTACATAAGTTGTCATGACTGTATTTGATATTATTATAAATCCATTGTATTGTTGTACATCGAACAGATGATTCGCATGCGAACACGTTTAACCTTTAAAAAAGTCAAACCTTAACACCTTTGTATATTTAAGTCGGTTGCCAAGACGTTAAGTAATGTTAAAAAATCAACGGTGAATAAATTAAAATATTATACATATAAACAACAGAGATCTGATATACAAACATATTATGTTTGTATATCATATTTGTCATGTTTGTCATATCAAAAACTAGAAAATGCATAGATAATAGAATACCAGTGTTGCCACACCTCCAATTTGCTTTTGTAAACAAAAGTTTTAGCTACTGTTCAGATACCTACTACCTACATCGTGGATTGAAATGTGATTTTCGCACAGTATATTTACTATTGCACGTATTTAGTAGTGCTTTAGCTCTGTCACTGTGTGCATCGTAAATTATTTGATCTAATTCATTTTGTTTAGCCAAGTTTAAGGCCTCTAACACGAGTTTTTACGTGTTATTATAATTACTTAAATTTACTTACATTACAACAAAATAATATGTTTTCCCAGAGCTCTGTCACAAAACGTGACCATGTACTGGCTATCGCCTTACGATTTAAAGAAACGCTGCTTTCGGGATTTTCACCTCCCTCTATCATCCACCAAGCATCCACCAACATCGCGTCTCTAAGGATACGTGTTTTTCGAATCAGTTCAGCCAATCATAATATTAATCCTATCACACGTATTAACTACTTTTCATACATCATACGCTATTTGTTTTTTATTATTGCCATCATATGGATGGCGATATCAAATATCAGTATTCCCTTGTGTAAGTCCTGTACTTTCTTTATCTCAAACTCTATTAGACTTCTGATGTTGTTGAGGAAAAGGTCACTGAACAAGGCGCTTCCTTGCTTTGCTTTCCTGCGTTTTACGTACGCTTCCGATACGTCAAAGTCAAGGTCACTAACCTTGACTATGACGTATCGGAAGCGTACGTAAAACGTGCAAGCGGCAACAACTATTTTTTCATATAAATGAAGAGAACTAAATTATAACAAGCGCTGTTTGGTCACGGTGGCAGATATACAATTACAAAGTTTACAGATTCGAAATCTATGTCGATGTGAACTCAATTGAGTTCATCGCGATAGAGCAGAACTAAAAATATGTTACCCATATATCTGGTAGTCTGAAACAACAACAAATCTTATTAATATCCATGAGCCTTAACATATCGTAAACTAGATACGTCGATAAGATGCTCTAACTCACTGGCAGTGGAGTAAGTTATCAGCAGTCGCAGTACCTTATACGTCACTACTCAACAAAGTAACGAATGCACCAAATGGACATTGACCCAGATCCTACATCCGTTGACAAACGATTCAGCACATCATTCGAATTGACTTTTAAATCGATTTTGTTGAATAAAAATATACAATAGGCATGTTCAGATGCCGAATGACGCGTTTTGTTTTGTGCACTGTAGTGTTCGATTATGTAAACAGTACACAATTATAATACAACGGTTTAATTATAATTATAATCAATGAATGCAATGCAAAACTGTAAATGTTGCTCCACTGGCTGTTTACTATCTTCATACTTCATGCTAAATGCATTTGATTTGTCTTTTATTACTATTTTAAACTACGTACGATTACCATTGGTATAAAAATAAATGAAAAATGTTTTTCAAAACACAATTTCTTATTGATTTGAAAGATTATGATTTGCAGCTATTTGAGTTCATTACTTTGAAAGATTATAAATTAATGATTGAATCGTTAAATTAAAAAAAAATAGTCGGTGTACCTGAACCCTATAAAAATAAAAAATAACATAAGATCAGTTGCTTATAACAATTTAAAGTATAAGTAACTTTGTTAAATTTACGTGGCGTGTATATGTATAATATTAATAATGTAGGAATCCAAATTTACCCAAAAAACCCTATTTCATAACCCATGTAGATCTCTATTACGATTTCTTTCGCAGTTGAAACGAAAGAAAATATAGAAAGCGAATATTTTGCTTCTATGCGCAAAAGGAATTAAGTAAGGTTATTGCCCGTCGGCAAAGACTTATCGTAAGGGTTTTAAGTTCATTGCCCTTTACAACATGAGTGTGCACGGCATAATCAAAACTCAACATTTTAATTATTGTTTGTATGTGTAACGAGATTGTTTATATAGGAAGTTTTTACAATACATTTTATTAAAAGTCCAATTATATTATTGATTCCGGACTCACACAACATATGCCAAATAATATTAGTTTTTACCAACTTCTACTAAAAACAAAAGCAGAAGGATTTATAGATCACACCAAGTATTGATATCTCTCAATGTCAACACCGTTTGAAACAATTTAAAGAAAACATCGGTAATATAATTCCCAACGTGAATTTTTTAAATGTAATAGGTATATAAACTATAAATTTGCTGAAGACTATAACATACTAAAGAAAGATTTAGTTTAGTAAGTGTTTGGAATATTTAAACATTACTAAATATTAGGTCAATGGTTTATTTACGTTGAACACTTTTTGAGATAAAATTTACAAGAAATTAATTGACACAGTGTCAATAGGAATCCATGTACACCAAATGGTGAACCTAAACAAATATATCGATAGATTAGATCGTCTGTGATGTTCGATACCCGTGTCGGCTTTGTAACAAGTAAATTAATTATTAATTTTTTTCCTTGTTTTTATAAAGATAATTGGATAATTATTGTTACCAATACTATAATTGACAGTCAGTCGAAACGTCAGATCGTCTAAATCTAATTAATCTAAATGTATGAATGTTAACCACAAAGACTTAAATAGAAAACAATGTTTTTACTATTATTATTTCAGATAAGTAATCTATGTGATCCATGAACGTTAAATTATCTTATTCATATTTCGTTGAGCCAGATCAGTAAAACAAACGAATTTAAGATTCATGATCACGTCGATCACGTATTCAAATATTTAAATTGAAGATTATCGTATGTGAAAATGTATTCAAATTCATACGATCGATCGAACAATACGGTATCTTAAAGGTACATATCATGTAATAAATGCATTACCAAGAATCCATATGGCTATATTCCACAGTAATATTG